TGCTAGGAAAATCATCAAAATGGACACGCCAGAATTTTTATTTAAATAATTGGTGGCATTTCGTAGGTTTTCTCTACAACTCTTCCATTCAAAGGCTTATTGCTATCTTTTTTGAAATATCTTAATTAATCTTATTGTAATCTTCTTATTTGTAAATCTTAAATCTTATTTGTAATTATTGTCAAATTAATTTTATTAATTAGGTTGAACTTTACTCTTTATATCTATAAAACATCCAAATTAACCTATTCCGTAGCATTTTTATAAGATCTAAAGTAACATGTTTACTAATAAGCTAATAAATAACTGCAAGATTTGCCAGACTATTGCCCAAGACTAAGACCAATACCAAGACTCGTCTCGGTCTCGCATTTGGGTAACACCTGCGTCTACACATCCTTTTTAAGCTAGACTGTTCACATAACTTTTACAAAATATATTTCATATGTGGATTAGTGAAAGTAAAACTACAATTCATCAGATAAGCATTCATGGAACGATTAATTCACTTTTCATCTGTTATTTTGATAGTCGGTATAAAAACCATAACAATACCATAATAATGTTTCTGAATCTAATCCTTCGACTCAAGTTAATTTATACCTAATTGTCATATTGGCGCTTTCGTAGCTTATAAAATTGCATGAAGTTATTAAATAATAATGGGAACTATTGAAATCAATTGAAATCGAATATTAATAAACCACCTATATTATTACCAACACTGAGGTAATTAGATCATTAATGAAACTTAGTAATGCATTAATGGAGTGGAAGGGATTAGTTCAAGATGAAGCCTCAGCTTGAAGAGTCGCAGATTCTTGAAGGTCTCTTCGTGCCACATCTCAAGCATTTAGGAATCTTGAATATTATCAATACTTACCTCACTACGGGACGCAAGTCCGCAGCTTTAAACTTCATCACATTTTTTTTCATTATATGGCCTCTCCCATATTTTATAATTCAATCTTATTACATCATGTTTGTAAGCTATGAGAATTTGGCTTACATATTTTTAAATTGTGTACCAGGTTTTCAGGCCATATTCAAAGCTATAGTTTTCTGGTACTACATTGACATACAGAGTGATGTATTCGGATTGTTTAGAAGAGATTTCCTCCATTGTATTCCCAAGAATAAAGCTGAACATGTCAATGAGATGTATAAGAAAAGTGTTAGGATGTGCAATATGCATTGCGGATTTGCGGCTGGATGTATTGGAATAGCCTCTATAACATGGTCTTTTTTGCCAGGCATTTCCGTGACAGATTACGCATCAGGTCTGGTCGTCCCGAAAGTGTTCGGAGGGTGGTACCCATTCCCGTTCTCACAATCGCCATGGTACGAAGGAGTATTCCTTTACGAGATTGTCATGTTGAGTTCGGGCGCCACTTATCTTTTGTTATTCTTAATGATCATGGTTCAAACAATGTTTTGTTTGTGTTCTCATTTTCACGTACTGGCTTACCACATATCGACTTTGAAGGTGAGTGATGAGCACGAAGAAAACGGTGTGTCGTTCATGAACGATGAACTTAAAGCCATCTTATCAGATTACAATCTTCTTCTGAGGTACTTTTAATACTTTATTTCGAGATATTTTGTAAAGACGTCATTGGAGTCCTGGCAATGGCCAGCTTCTCCACTCAAGTCATGAGCGTATGTGGCTTTAGTGCCCTCTCTCAGTCTCCACTGGATTCCCATCCTAGTGATGCGGCTGAGAGAGAAGCGATCTCTTGGAGTCTTGCCTTGGCCTCCACACGTGGGGGAAAAGGCCCGACTCGGAGCTCCCTCGGCTGACTGTAAATATTGTAAATAAGTTTGAATGTGTTTTTATTTATTATTTTTTATTTATTTATTAATTTTTTTTTTTTAGTTTTTATTTAATGTTATATCAGTTTGATTTATTCTGTTACTCCAAGTTTTATTTTATTTTATTTTCTTATAATCTTGTTGTTCTTTTATTGTATATATGGTATGATTGTACTTCATTCATCATAAATACTCAATGCCCTTAATTGAGGCAAAATGTATTTTTTCTTTCTCTCAATAAAAAAAAAAAAAATACTTTATTAAACTTCCAGTGGACGAGTGTTCGACAGGTGTCTCTCACTCTCTTCCTTATTTTTTACAACTATCTACTTTTAAAGTGTATTGACTTCAGTCTAATATTTGGTAATACAAATTTTTCTGATTGACACTAAATTTTCAAACTTTTAATTTGACTATTTATAGTATACATAGCCATTTATATCTGCAGGGCTTAAATCTGAATTTTCGATATGGCCTCCTCTAAATTATCTTTAATATGGTTTCTTTTAAATAGTTAACAATCGTTAGTGATTAGAAATAAAAAGAAACTAGTTGCCCCGTGCGAAAAATTGTTTAGTGAAGACATATTGAAATAAGTAGTTCCTATGTATTATGTAAAGAAGGAATTCATATTTTTTCCTTAGTAGTCGATTACAATATTAAATTAAACATAATAGACCAAAATATTTGTACAAATTGCTTTGCTAGGGCCTACTTTTAAACGCTGACAGAAAAGATAATAAAAGTAATAAAGATGTAAAGATGGTTGACCGTTGATATAATATGAGAAGGAGTTGATAGGGGGGCGCGGTCAAATTAATATTAAATTAAACAAGTTAAATTAAATAAATTAAAATTAAATAATTCTACTTATTTAATTTAGTATTAATTTGACCGATCAACTCCTTCTCATAAAAGTAATAAAGATAAAATAATGCTCCGATCATATTCTAAATTACTAAAAAAAATAAAATGTAAGAAAAACCAAATGTCTTTAGGAAATAATAAATTTAACATAAAAGTCAGAAAAAAAAATAGTATACTATTCTACTCCTAAAGGCAATATCTTTAAACAGGAAGACATTATTAAGTATACCAAAACTAACAATCGTCTGATTTTTACGATTTTATTTTTGTTTTGTAGGTAATTTATTAATCTTTCTAATTACCATAAGTACAATAAAATTGCTTTCTTTTTGAGTTATTCCCAAATAAAGTTTCCTTTCCTCCATAACTTTTTTCAGGAATTTCGGGAGATGGGACTATTTTTCGCATGTCAAGGAGAAGAATATCTTTAAAAAGAGTGGTCAATCATTGGATTTGATGAAGAATTGACGAAGTTATGCCATACCGACAAAAAAACTTTAGAAAAAATATATAGGATTGTTACAAATAAAACAATTAAATAATTAAAAATAGGATAAAAAATGAGAAACGTTTTGCCAGATATAAATAAATTAGCATAAATACGATTAGAAATATATACCGTTAGAAAACTAAATATTATGTAAAAAAATTAAATTATAAACAAAATGACGCATATTGCTACCAATCAAATCAACCAGAAGCCTAACCCCTTAGGTCTTGAAATTTTTTGCTAAAAAGCTAGAACAGGTGTCATTTTTTTTTTATTTGTTTATGGTCTTTCTTTTGATATGATAAATGACCATATTCTATATAATAATAATATAACATAATATTTTTTCAAGTAAACTAAAACTAAAGGGTTATCAGGAATAGAAGAGGAAGCAAGGTTGGAAACAAGAGGGTTCGGATTGTTCAGAAGTTTATTATGGTATCTGGAGGTATCTGGATTGAGCTAAATCGGAAACATATGGTACATTAAGGTCGTTATGGATGATTTTATTTGTGACAAAGTAAGGAGCGTTGAGGATTTTACGAAGGATTTTGGATTGTAATGATTGGATACGAGAGGAACTTGATGGTTTAATAGAGCCCCAAAGCTAGAATCCGGTAAGTCCAAATAGGCTTTATTAAAGTAAAATATATGAGTTGGAAGTATAGAGCGTTTGTCTAGTAAGTGCTGCAGTAGTCGAAAACGTCGGGCGGTTTCTAGTCGTTTCAGTCTGGTATGGGGGTTCCAAGTCCCCCAAAATTAAATCCTGGATCCTTTAGTGAATGAGATTGAAGAAACTCATAAACTGTTTTATAAGATACATCTTCGAGATTCCCAGGTGTTCTCATGTTTCATTCTGGTACACCGAGTTGAAATGGCTTTATCCTACTTCCCGACAATTCCTCCTTGGTGTTTTCCTTCTCCAAGTCCTCAGAACCAAAAACCCTCTCCACATCCTGGAACTCCTTACTCCACGTTCCTTTATCCACTCTCTCAATACCAGATTTCAACATATTGATTTATATATCCCTCCCATAAAACTAATTTGTTCAGAAAATCCTTCGTCATTCGTGCTACCTTTTTTTTGGAACTCTCTTTCTAGCTCCATACATCAATCCTCGTCCACAAATTCCTTCAAACAACTCCTGTTCCACCACCTACTCCACATCCAAACTTTCGCAAACATGTAAAATTTCTTGTATCTGTATACTGTTTAATTTAAATCAACTGCACAATTGAAATTATAATCAACAGTTAATTAGTTTGTATTTTTTATTCTTCTAAGCCAGACTTAAGACCCATAAATTTGTAACTCTGTTATTATTCTTAGGGAGCTGTAGTCCCAGAATAAAATTATTTTTTTATTTCACCATTCATTAATTTAACCACGCGCCCACTGGAGAGTTAAATATTTTATAAATAAACTTTACCAGTTTAAGTACATCATTATTTCTGTTTTAGCTATACTGATAAAGTAAAGAAGATAACAGATCTTCTTGTGACTTTTATCTTGAGTACAGGAATTATTGTGGTCAGCTTCGGCCTGCTAAAGTTTTTTTCTGTATGTTGGATATAATTAGTTGATTTATTTTAACTGATTTTTATTAATTATTAATTCAAACTTTATCTTTGCCTGTTTTTCAGGAGATAGGAGACATTTTGTTTATTCTTCGTTTTATAACCTATTTGTCATATGAAGTTTCTGAAATAGTTTTGATTTGTTTCGTTTCGACTTATCTCACTACCGCTGTAAGTATTAAATTAATTTTTAAAATTAAATACTTGAATAAAAATCTTGACTTGAAAATACAGTGTGTCCAGTATGTAGAGGGAAATATTTACAATGTTTGTGGTAGACGTCAAGATTTATTAAAAAGTTCATACAAAAAATTGCTCAATTTCCAGCAGAAATGTAAGAATTTCAATATTTGTGTTCTAAAAAAACATTTGATTTAAGGAATTAAACATAGTGAACTAAATCAAATTTTATTCAAACGAAAGAAGAGATTTTCATTGTTAAAACAATTTAAAAAGCGGGTAAACTTACATAAGTTCCCTTTAATAAAAAGTCCTAAATTATTTTTTTTTATCATCCTTCAACTGTATTACATTTACCCCAGGTTTAGAAAAACGTTCTGCTTTATTATAATAATATTATATAATATTATATAATATTATAATATATTAATAAGCTTTATTAATAGAATTAAATTATACTAATTAATTAATTAACTTAACAACTTAATATTAATTATGTTGTGTAAAGAAATAATGTACTTTTATATCCAGCCACTTAAAGTAACTTCGTTTTTCTGAAAAAATGATTAACCCACTAGCGGATCCAGAATTTAATTTTGGGAGGGGGGGGGGCTCCAGCCAGAAAGATTTTTTTTCTTATACATATAACGATAATTAATTTGAAATAAAGAAAAAGAAATTAATTACCTATATGAAATAGTGTTTAAGTGGTTCTTGAAATCCTATTACATATAATTACTCGAACAAGAATACTTTATGAGATAGTTTTTAATATTTTTTTCTGTAAAACATGGTGATGTTTTACCATTTTTTGGTGGGAGGGCTTCAGCCCGAAAGCCCTCCCCGTAAATCCGCCTGTGGATTAACCTGTACCACTATAACCCATGAAGGGTCTTGGGTTCAGTACTATTAAAAGAAAGCACTGTTTCTTGGTCTAAGGTTGTGCAAGGAGGTGATTTAACTGAGATCTCGCTCAACCGCAAGATTTTGCCCCTTAATTAATTATTTTTATTAAAGGTACTCACTTTATAGAGACTGGGTGTGCCCTAGGAGGGTCTACCTACGCTACAATGGCAATGAAACAGAATAAATATTTTTTCTGTCATGAGCGGAGATCGAACCTGGGACCTTTCGTAGCATTGGAAGCTCAGTACCTTACCACTGAATACCCCACTCCCCTTTAAGATGATTACAATTAGCTATTTCAAAACTTTCTATTCAACTGACTACCACTTATTCCGGTCTCTGCAGTCCACTCCATGAATGGAAAGAATTCCAAAAGGAAGAGGAAATCAAAAACCACTTGGATCAGTTTTTTAACAATAAACTCCAGACATTCTACGAACATGGCATTATGCAGTTAGTGAAAAGATAGGAAAAAGTCATATTAAATAATGGTAAACATATTGTGGATTAAAATAATTTTTATGTCTGTAGTATTTTATTTCACCCAGAAAAACCAAAAGAACTTATTTGCCAACCCAATATTAATGAGTACAATGAGTTAACTTACCGAAAATCTTCAATAATTATGCAATTTAATTTATTTTATTTTATATTTTAGAGCAAAAAAATTGGTTTTGCCTTATACAGCAGTGACTGGTACAGAGCTGATAAAAATTATTGTAAGGCCGTCCAAATTATGATGACCCGGGCTTCACAACCCGTAACGCTCACTGCAGGAAAGATGTACCCCATTAATGTGGAGATTCTGGTGGGAGTAAGTATAATGTTGATGTAATGTTATTAAATTATGTACTTTGTTATATAATGGTTGAAAGATTATATAACATATGAATGAAGTTTACATACGAATTAAAATATCTCAAAAACTAAAAATCGGACCTGCATATTGTCAGCGAAGGAATTATTCATCATTTCATTTTCTTTGTAATGAGCTATTATTCTAAATTGTATCTTAACGCGACCATATTAGAGAAGCGAAAAAGGAATTTTTTATTTTTATTAAATGAAATTTACAACTGTATACAAATTCAATCAGTAAATATGCACACATTAGAATAATAACATGAACGGACTTGAAGAGATACTACCCAGTGGTAGCATTCCCTACTTAATTCTAGGTGAGAAGATCACGAGGTCATCTTCTTTCCAGAAGCCGAGGTAGATTATCACCAACCGAAGAAAAAGCAAGGCTGGAAACAAGTGGATTCGGATGGGGCCTGATTTTGGATTGTAAGGGTTGGATATGATAGGAATTCGATGATTTGGTGGAGTTCCAAAGCTTAACTCTGTATGTCCATATAGGTCTTATTATGGTTATGTAGATGAGTCTTTTGCAATTAATTGAAAGTTTAGAGACAGGAATAAGTGGGATATCATTGAAGGGCATTATAGGACAAGAAGTTGTAGGTTTACGACGGAGAGTAAAGGTAATTTGATGAGATTTATTGGTATTTATTTTTATTCTCTAGTATTGACACCATTCTTCAAGGTTTGCAATATGTGATTGGAGGGTTTGAGATGCAATTAAAGGACGATTATTAACTGATAGGATACAATTTTAATCGGCATAGGTGGTGATGACCGTAGTAAGATGGGTTGGGATATCAGCTGTATAAACTGTATAAAGGATAGGATCTAGGTGTTCTTCAAGTAGTAAGGAACACCATTAGACCAGAAAAAATCTACCAGTAAGGTAAAAACTGATAATAAGGAGGTAAGTAGGTAGTGAGAATATACGGAGTTTGTATAGCAGTTTATATCAAAATATAAATATCACAATGGACCGAGGATACTCCCTTGACGAACAACAGCAGACTGGAAAAAGAGGGATGAACATGTATTATTGTGATTTACTTTGAAGAATCGACCAGAAAGGTAGGAACGGATAATGAGGAAGTATGTAGGTGGTAGGGATGGATTTACGGAGTTGGTACAGCATTGCATTGCCGGGTGCATGATTCGATCAAATGTCTGTTCAACATCGAGAAAGACTTCCGTACAGTACATTTTGGGCTCCAATACATTTTGGAGAGGAGAATACATTTAACACATGAATACATTGCTGAATGAGAAAAAAATGTGTCGAAGACCAAATGATAACGAATTTTATATCGGACCTACATACTGTAAGCAAGGAAAGTGTTCAGAATTTCATCTTCTGTATAATGAATTATTATTTATATTTCATATTATTAATATCGCCTTGTCGATGTTTTTACTTTCATTGAGTGGTATGAAACACAAACCTTATTTATTTTTTAAAATTTTATTAAGGACTTTTCCATTAGTGTGGTTATCCTTTACTTAAATATCCTTTGAGGTATTCTTCCATCCTTCTCTATCTATTCTTTTCTAGCTAAGGCTTGTTCTTCTCTGATGTCATGCCTGCCAGGATTTCTTTCCATTTTACCTTTGGCCTTCTTTTTTCCTTCTCCCTTCTACTTCCTGCTCCATACATCTCTTTGGCAATCTTTCATGTGTCATTCTTTTCACATACTCAAACCAGTAAAATCTTTTCTTTTCAATATTTGCTATAATGGTTCTTTCCACCTCCACCATTTCCAGAATTCTTTGATTTTTTCGCCCCTTCTCGATTTCCTTACTGCCTTTCTCCAAAAGTCTATCTTTACTACTAACAGTCTTTTCCATTGTCTTGCGTTGGTGACCCATGTCTCCGAGGCATACGTCGTTATAGGCTCAAATATAGCTAATAAAGTAATAAAAAATAATAAGTAAATAAGTATGAGATCAAAATAAAATGTTTTAAAGCGCTCAGTCTCGTTATTTAATAGCCATACATGGAGTTCAGACCATTAACAGAAATACAAAAATGGTGCAAAGAAAAAAAATTCCCAATTTAAAGATCCACCAGTGGTTTACATAGTATTTAAATGGCGGATATCGAAACCTACAGACCTATTGTTGACACATGAATTGAAAATTTTACACACTAAAAACACTATTTAGTGTTTGAGAAACGTATACAAAATTAAAAAAATAAATAAATATATTTAACATAAAGTATATCACAATATTTTCACAGACTATTCATTTTCTAAAAATTATTTTCAGCCATTAAATTATTTATTTTTCTGTCGAAGCGGGACGTTTCCATTTGATACATTTTTCGAATAATGATTCTCTTTCTTTTGTCGCATTTCCACTTCACAGGTACCTGTGAAAAATAAACAGACAATTGTGAAAAAAGTATTTTATTGTTTTCATGTATGAATAAAACAAAAGTAAATTAGTTTTATTTTTTTTTTAATCCTGAATATTTAATTAATTTAATGGAGTTAGCAAATGGGTCCTTTCGGTTTTTCAGGATGAAATAAAATCGTTGTATTATAGAAATAAAATTTGTTTTAATCTACAATGTATTGCCCATCATTTAGTATAATTCTCAAAGTGATTTATTATTTCTTGTTTTTTTTTTGTTTTTTTTTGTTCACGGGAAATGCATACTATCAAAATTATTTTCTTTTACTTTTTTTCGCCTTATCTAGGACCACAACAATCTCTCGCACTGATTGGATGGATTTCGATCAACAAATGCCTTAACATTGCTCATCTTAATTTATCGTGGACGACCAGACCGTGGAGCGTCATTAATGTCAAAATTTACCTTATGAAATTTGACAAAATAATTTTTACACGCTCATTTCGTTAAGCCTCCAGTCTCATAAGCAACGTAAATTATTTTAATAATGAATTAAATATGTCGATACTCAATAATATTTTCTTCCTTATTCACAGTGCGATATCAAATAATATACTAATATAATTGTTTTTTTTTTGTTTTGTTATTTGTAATCGCCTCTACCCTAGAGGATCATTGAGGGCTAGTTTTCTATACTCTATTTTGTAATATTTGGTCTCTATTAAGTATCGAAATAGGGTGGTGACTCCATCTTCGTTGTCTCTTAATACCTCTTTCATTGCTATTGGTAGTTTCAGTTTTTGCCGCATGTTGTTGAATTCGTGGCACTCTACTAACAGATGTTTTACTGACTGCGGTTTATTGTCACACTTTTGGTACGTTGGTGGTTCTAGTCCTCTGAGAAGGTACCCGTGAGTAAGGAGGCAGTGACCTATTCTACACAATTTGGTTTCTTCTCTTCTGGATATTCTTGTGCTACTAGCCCACTTGTTGTAGTCTAATACTTGTTGGATACTAATAGTTTTGACTGTTTAGTATACCATCTATTTACCAATTTTCCAACAAATTCTTTTTTGTTGCGTGTACCCAGTCTTCTACTGTTGTATAATTTATTGAAATTATGGTTGGTGCCTCTCCCTTCCTTGCTACTTTAGCCGCATGGTCTGCTCTTTCATTGCCTGAGATACCACTATGAGATGGAACCCAGACAAATATCACTCTGACCGTTCTTTCATTTAATTCCCACCATAGATTCAATATATCCCTTATTATTGAATTGCTTGGCCATGGGTTACCTATTGCTGCCATGACGCTTTTGGAGTCTGATGCTATCATCCATTGATTGTCATTGAAATTTGATATCCAATGTAGGGCCTTTATAATCGCAGCAGCTTCTCCAGTAAATATGGAGCTCCCTCCAGGTAAGCTAAACGTGAAGGTAAATAGCCAAGCGTGAAATTTTCAAGTGGAGGTACGAAGTGCTGAAATAATCAAATAAACTGAAGACAGAGTCAGAAATGACACCCGAGGCCCAAAAGTTTATTACTTATAACAACACCCAACCTCTGATATGATTTTAAATATATTTTACACAAATGGTTGTTACATATTAAAAATAGGATAAACAAACCTCCAGGTTAATTAACTCTTCAGAAAATTAATATATGACAGTGATATAAAAATAAACAGAAAAATCTCCAGAACCTATTTGCCAAACCAATACAATGCAATACGAGAATTATTATATATATAGATAGATAGATAGAAAGTAAACTTTATTCTGGGACAAGTTCCCTTATGAATAACAGATATGAATAAAAAAATCTGGTGTGTCCACTCACACGACTTTCCTACCTATTTCAAAAAGTTTTTATATCTTTACATATGTTCATGAAGAAACAAAAAAGAATTGAATTAGATACATTTTCTTGAAAATTGATCAAACATAAGATTAGAGTACGATTTATTTGATAAACTAAAGCAATGTAAACCGGCTTAAGGTAGATCAGTGTAAAAATTTCAATACTTCCTAATATTGCTGATCACAAACTTTTTGGCATAGCTTAGTATTGACAAGAAATAATTTATGGTGAAAGTATAGGGAATAGTGAAGATTGTGTGATGCGGGCTACAGATTTTGTTACTTTCACTTAGTCATCTTTATTCTCTCATTCATCCCTTTCTGACACCAGGATATGAAACCGTAATCTTACATTGGAAATTGAATAGCTGTAACTTCGTTAATAGTTGTCCAAATTGAACGATTTCAATATGGCTTTGTAGGGAATTTCATTACCTTTCAAACGACATGCAAAAAAAGAAGCAACAAAATCGGTTCAGTAGTTCCCGAGAAAATCTTGGCACAGACAGACAGACCAATGGCTAAAAATGTGTTTTTCGGATTAAGGAGGCTCTGAAACGTATAGATCCTTCGAAAACCGCATGTCGGAAATTTGACCCGATTGCAATACTTTCCTTACCTAGTATAGGTAGGAAAGTAAAAATAAAAACTACATCTGGCCAAAAATTACATTAGTCAATATTAAAGAATATATAATATCTTCAGTAAAATGAAATTAAAACTATTAAATATATTATAATAAAAAAATATATGCATTCTTATTTTAGGATGATTATTTTTAAAAGTAGATTACCATATTTTACTCCTGCCAGCCTAGCTATGTAGTGAAATAACAAAATCATCGAAACAAAAGCGATGCAGGTAAGAAAACTTTGTAGTAATGTCATCTTTTCGAAAATTGGGTAAAGCCAGAAATCATGCTGGAAATACGTCCCAAAAAGACTGTAAAGAAAAAAAAAGTAATATATATTAACAATCTCTCTCATTAAGTAATTTAACATCATCAAATTCATTCACAGGTTTACAGTTCATAAGTTTTCGAGTAAGTGAAATTTTGAACTGTGTAGGATGGAATCCCTTATAGAGAAATTTTGAGGAGTTCAAATTTTTGAAAGTTGATGAGAACTGAATCGATAGCCTAATGATAAGGCTCACTATTCCTCTTGTGTCGATCCAATTATATACTCATCAAAAAGTTATGGTTGAAATTTAATGTATATTTAATGTTAACTATAATAAAAAACTAATATATAGATAGCAGTAGATTTGAACCGACTGACCAAAGTTCATATGAGGTTTATCTTGAATTTAAAATGGGTATTCAGTTAAATGAAGTGATCGGTGGCTCCTAGTTAGTGTTGCCCAAAATTTGTCTTGGTCTTGCCCCCTAAGTGTTGTAAGACCAAGACCAAGACTGGTAAAAAAAATCGATTATCTTAGTTACTATGTGTTAATAATTGGTATAACCAATATACTTTTGCATTTAAATCCTCTAATTTTTAATTCGGGCTTAGTTAGGTTTCTCTTATCTAAAATATTACAGTAATATCTCCACATTTATAAGCTAATAAGTAACTCTAAGCTATTAATAAAATTTGTCTCGTATTTGGGCAACACTATTCCATAGTAACATGAACATAATAAAATACGAACTCCGACAATATTATGTACATATACATATGCGGTTTTTCTAAATTTTTGTTGTTATTATTTAATATTTTATTATATAGATTACAGCGATATAAATATTAAAAAAATTATATAAAAGGGTACTTAAACAGATAAAAATAACCACAATGGAATATAAATCGATACTTCCTCTTCGTCTGAAAATACTTATTTCCGATAAGAAGAGGTTGGTAAGTGAAAGATGTTTGATGCGCGCACGGCTCCATATTTTTCATTTATGTTGTTAATGATAGCAGATGGGAAACATAAAAAAATACTAGCATAGAGGGGAAACAAGCATTTAAATTTTTTTTTTTTGTCACAGCTTGTAAAACGCCTAAACGCATAATTATAATACACTCACCAGACCATGTAGGATCCAAAATACAATGCAGTATAATATAATGTCTCAGGCCATGGAGAAAATGTGTGCTTCACGAGAAGAAGATCCATTAATGGCAAGATTGAGTTAAATGTGTGGACTCCATGATTCACCCACCCTGGAATTATTTCCTCCAACCATGTAGGGAAGATAAGATCCCTGTTAATGTTGTAGGTTATCCAGAAACCTGGAGTGATAAACTGAAAAAAAATAAGAAAAATCAAGTTAATAGACAGAATGGTCATGATAATATGAAAATGTTAATATGAATGTTTGCGCGACCAGTTCGGATTGTCAAAGATTAAATTGAAAATAATAGAAAAATTGCAGAAGTTAACGAATTTATATATAATTAGTGTTGCCCGAATGCGACACTAAGACGAGTCTTGGTCTAGTAATTTATGATTATAATTAAGAATGTTTTATTGAATACTTAATAGTTGACCGTTGTATTATTAAGGAAGGAGATGGTCCGGGGTTGCGATCATAAATAGACTAAATAGTGGTAAAACTATTTTATTAAAAGCTAACGTTTCGACCCGATTTTGCAGGTCTTCATCAGGGAGGTGTGTTCAGCAAGGAGTTTCACTTAGAACTGAAAGTGAAACTCCTTGCTGAACACACTTCCCTGAAGAAGATCTACAAAGTAGGGTCGAAACGTTGAGTTTTAATAAAATAGTTTTTTCAATATTTAGACTATTTATGACTGCCACCTCGGACCATCTCCTTCCTTAAGAATGTTTTAATATGTCACCATTCATTACTCTTTTAAAGGATTGGTATTAGGAAAATTCTATATTTGGTTTTTAATCTTTGAGTTACCTCCCAATTATAATTTTAAATTATTAGTAGTACAAAATCACAATTTACCATTCCAGTAGGAACCACAATTACGGTGAAAATAGTATCTGCAATTCTTCGCAATTTGTTGCTTATTTTGGAATAACCAGATATTAAATTAAGAAGGTGGACCAGAACCATACAGCTATAATAAGTAAATATCATAATCTGGAAAAAATATTTAAATTATAAAAATATATATATAAAAGTAAATGACAGTATTGAAATTTAATAAAATTATTACAAAAGTCCATTTTGTTAAAAATCTCGAGCTGAATTTAATATAAAGTTTAAAAAAGCCGGCTGATGAAGGCTCATTGAAATTTCCAATCATTACTACGCGAATCATCACTGCCAGGTAGAATCCAAATATTGATGCGTGCAATAGTTTTTCGTTCACTGCCATTTTTTCTACCTGAAATAAATGAATTTATTATTAATATAAATCAGTAAAAAAAAAATCAATAAGAGAAATTCAATGTTACGATTGTTATAATTAGAAAAATTCCAACCATTCTTCGTTATTTCTATTTGAGTGCAGTTTGGAAACATAATACTGTTTGATTGAAATTATTCCAATATAAGTCAACATTGAATTTAATACATTAATATCTAATATGTTAATACTTATATTAACATATTAGATATTAACTCATATTGGTGGTTGAGCGAGTCAAGGTGCCTGCAAAAAATTTATAGTAAGTGTTCAAATTCCTTTCGCGGAAATTAATGAATAAAAAAATAAAATAAAAAAAAAAGTTCGAAAAAAGTCGAAGTCAACAGGCGTAAGAAAAAATAAAATAAAAAAATACTTAATTATTGAAAATCTAATGTTTTTTTTTTATTTCTTAATGATATTTACAACTGTATTAAATAAATACATCTAGTAAATTTGAACATATTGATATAATGGCATAAAAACACTTGCTGAGTAACTACCCAATGGTAGCACTCTAATGATATGTCTACATTAGGAGATCACGCTACCATCTTCTTTTCAGACGCCTCGGAGTGGTGCCGCATAGCTCAACTTCGTAAGTCCAAATAGGCCTTATTATAGTCATGTATATGAGTCTTTTGTAATTAATTTGAAGTTTAGAGCGTTTGTCTAGTAAGTGCTGAAGTAATCGGAAACATCAACATCGGATAAAGTCAGTTCTGATATTATTATTATTATTACTATTATAGAGCTGAGATTATTATTATTAATTTAGCTTGACAACCCGCAAGTGAGTCTTGGCTTCTTCCAACAATAATCGATATGTGTCCCAATTCTGTCTGTGCTGATGCACCCAATCTCGTACTCCAATAGATCACAGTCTCCTAAATTGGCGCCTACCGAATATTTGTTCTGTTAATATTACGGGTTAGTTATGTTAGTATGCTTTCCCTTGTCTATTGGTTTGAATCTCTTCATTTCAAAGAATCATAACCTGTCAAAATGTGGTCCACTCAAAAATTCAAAACCTAGTCAAAATGTGAGCCTCTCAAATATTTTGATGGCGCAACTTGCGTTTACTTTATCTGTCACTGCTGGATGAGAATACAGGAGCATAGGAAATCAATGCCTTACCCACTGTTCCACTCCATTCCCAAAGATAATTATGTCCAAGTTTATTTATTATCAGCCAATTTTACAAATTTTTTTAAAATTTTGTCAACTTAATGACTACACATCTAATTACGACGCTTCGGCTCGTTGAGCCATTTTGAAGTTTAAAAAATTTTTACAATTTGCAATCATATTTAAAAAATTACATATTTCAACATATTGAGATTCTTTTTATATACATAAATACCAATCATGTACCTGTCCTTTTCACTTATGTGAATTGCATGCGTCTACTCATAATAATTTTTTTAAAAATATTCTTGTCATGTCCACCGACATGTCATCAGTCTCATTTTTCTCAGCAGAAGCGTCGTAAATAGATGAGTAGTCATTAAGTTGACAAAATTTTAAAAATTGTTGAAAAATTTGCTGATAATAAATAAATTTGAAAATAAATAGTATGCACCAAAGAAGAAATTGAGAAATATTGTGGATAATTATGTCTTTTAATTTAACAAACGATTTTATTTAGATGACTTGAGTAAATACATTTTTTATTTTTTGATAATATTTAATTTCTAGTTTCTTTAAAATGGATTTCTCTTTATTGGAAAAAATTAAATTCACCATAGGTGTCCGCTAGTGAGAAGCTTGTAGGCGAAGTATAGGACAGTGACCTATTGCAGCATTATGGTTCCGTGTCTATAAATGTTCAATTGTTCCATCATCCTTTTTAGAAATAATGAGAATGTAAAACATAATACGTACCAAGATGATTGTAATGGTGATCGGATTTCCAGTCAGAATGTGATGATTAGCGAGATGTTCGGACTTATATTATATTATCAGCGCGAGTATAAACAATCAAAAATATGCAATCTCACGATTAGGCAAACCTCTCCAAGGCCAGAGAGACAAGAGAATACATTCGTAGGGGGTTATCTGGAAAACATAATTAATTGATTGAACTTTACCCTTCTTGAACTTTATACCGTGATTTAGTATTCCTAAGAAAATAACACTTATTTTTCATTAATGATTTAAATTTTATTAATTATTTTTATATTTTCTGAATATATAATAATTGTAGTTTTAATAAAAAAACAACTTTTTTTTATATATTTCTTCGTTTATATACGCCGAAGCCATAGGAAGGGTTAGGTATTTGGTTTGCCAGCTAAAAGTTATGTAACGATTTTTTGAACGAACGACTAAACCGATTTCTAAGTTAGATGGCTTAAATTATTCGGGGAGATCCCGAGAGTGTTTTTTAACAATTTAGTCTCAAAACAAAAAAGAAAATATTTATTTTGTTCTTTTACAATATTTTTAACTGCACAGAACAGCATCTAGCATATTTTATGTAACTGATTAGTTTTTAGTGAAGTGGGGTCAATTCTGGGTCATTTTCTTTTGTTGTTTGTAGTGTGAAGCATTAAACCTCGAAGGCATCAACGCGTGTATTTATTTTTGTTTATTTATAATAACAAAACTTTAAAATTTTATTTAACAAATCGTTTTTTGACTACAGATCTCCACTCAACCTACTAAACAAGCGATTAATCTACACAACCCTACTAAGACCTATTTGGACATACGGAACAGAACTTTGGGGTTCCGCAAAACACACACACATAAATAAAATTCAAACCACACAATCCAAAATACTTCGTAAAATTGTCAATGCTCCTTGGTTTATTTAAAATCACACAGACAGGAACATACCAAAAGTAAAATCCTATATACACAACATTTCATTCTTCTACTCTCAATCGTCCAAATCCACTCGTTCTATCTCTATCTTCCTCCCTGTTACCTGGTTAGTCTCAACGGCGACTAAAAAGGCAGTGGCCTAGAGATCTTCTGCTGACCAGTTAAGCAAGTATCAAGAATACAAGAAAATAGAATAAACGCCAACACATTTGCTTGATGCGTTATAACGCAGTGGCAAATTTAATGGAAAATAAAATAAAATAACAAATCATTTAATTTCAGAAAATTTAACAATTGTTTTTATTTTCTGTTGCCATTACAGACTTGTAGATGTTTTCCACCTCAACAAGTTTGCTATATCTCTGCTTGTCTTGGACTATTTCTTTACATTTATCTGCACGCAACTATTGCATCTTTGTTGATTCTATCTATCCGTCTGCTTTTTGACCTTCCGCTTCGTCGTTCATCTTCTATTGAGGCATTCATTGATACGTAGGGGTTTCCAGCGGGATTGTTACGAGATACATACCCGCCCGTCTTAACCTCTGTTCCTTCATATCATGGGATATTGATTGACTCATTGCCAGCAAGCAGTTCTTTATTGGTCTTTCTTCTGCATGGGTTATTACTCTGATCTCAGATCACTTCGGTTATCGTGCGGAAGATTTCTTTTCTCAAATCATTCAATACTTTTATACCTAGTCTCACAGCCACATATTAGAACTGGCTTTATCATAGTCTTGTACACTGTTCATTTAAGATTTCTTGAGATTCTTCGGGATTTCTATGCCTTTGAAAAAGAGAAGAAAGCTATTTTGTGCTAGTTTTATGCTGGTGTATTTCTTCTTGATGGTCATTCATGGAAGTTATTGTGGAACCGAGATATTTGAATTTTTGTATTCTCGAGAATGATTTTGCTTCTACGCAGATCCTATTGTTGTGGTGGAATTTTTGACTTATTATCATATATTTTGTTTTGTCTTCATTCACTTGTACAGCCTGATCTGCTCTGCCTCTCTTATCAGAGTCTTATTGGGTTTTTCAATGTCTTCTTGATTACTTCCAATGACAGCTATATCATCTGCGTATCCAAATATTTTATGATTCACTCTGAAGTGCATCCCTTAATTTTCCTGTGGTGTCGCTCTTATAACCTTATCCTTCGCTAAATTGGAAACGCGCTAAGTAAACATAAGATCCAACTCCAAGCAATGGAGATGCGTTACCTCCGTAGGATCGAATGTAAAACAAGAACAAGGAGAGATTGAGTGAGGAATATCACTATCCGATCCAACCTGAGTCTGCAAGATTCAAGAGTAAAAATATAAAAGCTCCTGCTGAGGTGGTTCGACACGTCTTTCAAATGTCAGAAGACAGAATAGCAAGGCTCACTTATGAGACACAGGTAAGAGGTAGAAGACCTAGAGGACGGCCTAGGAACACCTGGGAGAGCGGAACAAGGGAAGTCTTTGACCGAAGAGGTATAGATTGGACAATAAGGAAACAATTGGCACAAGATAGAGACTAATGGATCAGGCTCTGTAAGCAGATACCTCACACTGCTGTGCTGTAGACGAGGATGGATTAAGTAAGTTATATTTTAATAAAATGAGAATAACTTTTATTATGAAAAACAAAGAGAAAAAATATATAATACAGTATACTTGTAAATTAGGAGCGGTGTAACTCAGTGGGTAAGCACTGACTTCCAGAGCTCAAAGTCCCAGGTTCGAATCCGGTTGATGACTAGTAATTTTTCATTAGCCGAACCTTGGGCCGGGAGACTCATCTAGGGCTAAACCATCATCTATACAGTGGATACTCTTAATCAAATAATTAATTAAGGAGAGAAACCTGGCGTTTGAGCGTGATATTGGCCTGTCACCTCCCTCCACAACCGTTGGCCTTGTAGCAGTACTTCCTCACATTGTACTTAGTGTTGCCCAAAAGCGAGACAGAGACAAATCTTATCGTCTTGCAAACTCAGTCTCGGTCATGGTCTTGGTTTTGCTCAAGACTCTCGCAACAGTCTTGCAGTTATTTATTAGCTTATTACTATTGAAATATTACTGTATTTTTTTAGATAGGAGAAACCTAACTAAGCCTCAATGAAAAATTAGAGGGGTTAAATGCAAAAGTATATCGGTTATACCAATTATTAACATATAGTAACAAAGATTGTCAAGTATTTGTAACTATTTTGCCTTAATTTTTATTTAAAAAATCGATTTTTTTTTACTAGTTCTAGTCTTGATCTTGCAACAGTTTGCAAGACCAAGACCAAAGCCGCTTAAATGCAAAGTGCAAGACCAAGACCGATTTTTGGCAACACTAATTATACTGAACTCATAACCCCCTTCATGGGTTTTTAGTGGTACAGATTTTTTATACTTATAAATTAACTTTTACTACTTTTTTTCTGAATTTTATTATATAAATATAAATAATACATATAGTAGATATTTGATAAACGGTTTATTTAATCGTTATATATGTTCGTTTAACCGTATATGTTCTATTGATTTGACAATGTTTCACACTAGCCTTCCTGTATTTTTAAGAGGAGATCCTGATGTTGTAGTGGAATTTTCGTTTTTACTTATCTGGGAAGGGTCTTACAGTCTTACATAAGACATATACTTTATTATTTTAAAAGACATAAAAACTCTGTTTGTGTATAATATACGCTAGTATGTTTCTAACTGTTAGTCATTCATTGGACTATTGTGGACTCGAGGTATTTGAATTTATCTACTCTCAGGAACAACTCATCTTCCACGCAGATCCTGATGTTGAGATGAAATTTTCGGTTTTACTTATCTTCCTTGAATTGTATGTCTATTATAATACACCTCAAGCTAAATAAATTAAAATGTTTAATAATTTCATAATTTATTGTATCTAATAACTTATCGTTCCGCTTTATATGTTTAAACGTTTTTAAAATTATATTATTATTTGATTCCTGGGTTAAATTTAGGTTGACTGAAAATAAAAAAAAAACTTCTGCGTAAAAAATAGATTAAGAAAATCTCTCTGAAAACTGTCGAGTAATTGCCTCGATAAATTGCATAATAGAAATATTTACTCTGATAATTTTAGATAGACTGATTATCTTGTGTGACGAGACGAAAGATGTCCTTAAAGCACTTATCTGAAAATGTAGAATGAGTCTTAATAATTGATTAGCCTTGAACAGACTAATTCAGAAAAAGCTGGGATATGAAATATATAGTAAAGGAAAGTATTGCGATCCTGAAAATTTTCTAATATCAGTTTTCTACGGAAATACACGTTATGAGGTCTCTTGAGTCCAAATAATCAGGTCTCGCAAAATGGTCTGTGTGTGTGTTGACCGTCTAGCTCAAAAACGAAAAGTTTTACAAAAGTTAAATTGCATATTTAAGGTTTTTATATGCTAGATATGTTACAGAAACGTTTTCGTCAAAATCGGATAACCGGAAGTGGCACTTTATATATTGCACTAAACATATTTTTACGATTATTTCGAAAACGGTTCTAACGATTTTAATTATATTCATCATACCAGTGTAAAATTAAGCAGTTTTAAATAAAATTTAGTTTTTGTTCTGATTGATGTTCTCTAACACAGCTTAAATGGCTAATTTTTAATATTACCTTCTTCTGAAGTACCTTTATTTTTTAGCCAGTGTTTCAACTGCCTCCCGCAGTACTACATCCTATGCCCTGATGAAGACCTGCAAAGTAGGTCGAAATGTCGGCCAAAATTAAATAATACCATTTGTATAATTTTGTATTTATTTGACCGCACCCCATCAACTCCTTCCCATATTATATCACTACATCATTATGAATACCTTTTTTTTTTTATTCGAAACAATTGACCATTTCACATTAATCTATAATATAAAAAATAGTTAAATACAAACTATGAAAGAATTTGATAATTAACATAAGGATAAATAAGAGATCGTAACGGAAAATAGTTGTAATTGAGGAAATAAATGAATACGAGCGCACCTGAGCTCATCCGAAAGGTTAGAACATTAGAATACGCTTATACAAGACAATATCATATAAATATACATATGTGGTTTTCATAAATGCTATTGTTGGAATTATTTAATATTTAATTATATAGATTATAGCGATATAAATATTAAAATTTGTATATATAATGGTACCTATACAAATAAAAATATCCACAATGAAATATAAATAAATATAGCGTCTATAATTTTTACTTTCACATTTCCTTGTCTGAAAATACTTATTTCTGCTAAGAAAAGCATGGTAAGTGAAAGTTATGCGATGCGCACACCACACCAGATTTTTTTTTACTCCACACGAGTGAAACGACACAAGAGTTTATGTGGATTTTCAAACACATAAGAGTTTATATGGATGGGTTGTTCTCTAAAAGCAATGTAACGATTTTTTGAAGAAACGGCTGGATCGATTTTTATTTTTTTATGGCTTAAATTATTCGGTGAGATTCTGTGAGTGTATTGAAAGAAAAAAAATGAGCTAAAACACTGATTCATGACTGAATGAAATGTGTTTAATCTATCCTCTTTTAAGCAGACAATATATATATATATATGTGTGTGTGTGTGTGTGTGTGTGTGTGTGTGTGTGTGTGTGTGTGTGTGTGTGTGTATAAACAGTGAGAGCCCACTTATGTTTAAAAACATTTTTTTTGCTCAAAAACATATCTATTTTGAAAGGGTGGAACTATGCTCTTTTATTTGAACAGCGTTTTCGTTTTCAAATTATATATCCAAGTTTTCGTTTAAAAATTACATATCCCGATTTTTTTGAAGAGTGGATTTATCTTAATTTTATTTCATTACAGATTTTGGTAATGGTGATCAAATATAAAAGTCCTAAAAAAAGTTTATTGTTATTGATATCGTAAATAGATATGCGAAGAGCGTAGTAATAAAAACAAAAAGACAGCGATAACACACACCCATTCGAAGAAATTATCAAGTAGCACTGTTTTTTTTTTTTTTCTGTTTTTATGAATGTCATTCTTCCATTACATAAGACACTAATTATTGGAATTGAATAGAAAAAAAAAAGAAAACCCGGAGTGTCTGGGAGGAAACGAGAAACTAAACAGATAAGATATATAAACTTCAAAAAATTTGTTTTTCTCTTCTTCTTATCAAACAACGCAAATTAATCCATTTAAATTAAATTAACGGTATATGAAGAGGAATCTTGGAATTTTTCTTTTTTTTTTTTTTTTTTTTTATTAAACAATTGAAATAACTAATGTGGAATGACAATTCGTTTTATGTTGAAGAAAGTAGATTGGTTCTAATTAAGATAAATGACAATTGTATATTTTTCTATTTTGTATATCTTTGGATTCGACGAAATTGTTTGAGCTTGGTAAAAAAAAATATATGACAAAAAAATTTTGTAAAACATACTTAAAATTTTGTTTATTATTACAATTAATACATTCTGCCACATTGGAGAGCAATTAAAATTAAATCGAAAACTCTTCATTCTTGTGTTTATTATTACTTTCACTTACCTATATATGTAATATATAGTAAAGGAAAGTGTTGCGATCGTGAAAATTTTCGAATCTGAGCTTATTGTTGCTGTAAAACATTTTATTTATATTTACTTATTATGACATTCATTATTCACCACTTCTGTATCCTGATTGTATATACTTTTTATTTATTATTTAGTTGTTATTTTTTTCTGTATATATATTATAAATGTTGTCACACCTCCCTAAAATTATTGTTCAAGTGAAAGAGTATAATTTTACTCGATAAATAAATACTAATAAAAATGAGTTTTTTATCGATGAATACTATCGAAATTCACAAATTTGTTGTTTAGCTTCATTACAAATGTACTTCAATAACTTTTTGTAATACCCCAATTTTGGCAGAAAATAATTTCTACTTTAAGTAGAGTGGTATGTGAAAGTGGTGTGATGCGCTCATCTGTGAACACTATTATAAATGTCCTTAAGACAGATTGTAATATTTTTCAATAAATAAGATTTAAAAAAAAAAGTTAATAATTTTTAATAACAATAATTAAGAGAAAGATGCTAGCGGTGATCAATCAAAATAAAAATGGCACTAATATTTATTTATATATTTATGTAAAAATTTATATAAATCTATTTATATATTTACTTTAACATTAGGCAAGTGTCAAAATAAATATTATTATTTATTTTTGCCATGTTTATTATGACTGATTACCCCAACCACACTTCTCTTCATTATTCACTACAGTCAATCATCAACCAAATAATTAATTGTTGTAAAAATATGTCCAAATTGTAATTTATTTTTTTCTTCCAATCTCCATCCACAGCCGCCAAGATTGTGACAATTAGCGGATTTATTCTACCTCGCAGCACTTCTTCCCTGGCCTGTTTACATCCTTAAATCAGAAAGGAGATCTCTCATCCAACTCCTTTTCAGTCACTTCCTGATAAGCATGTCAGCTGTGGCCATTTCGTTGATAAGTCTGTTGTGATGTCCTTGTAGTTTAAGATGAAATCGGGAGTAGAGAATACGTATATATTGGTCAGTAGTTGGTTGTCTTAGGTCGGTATGTAAAGTTTTGTTGTTAACGCCCTGGTATGTGACTGCAGCTATTAGTGTTAATTTTTTTTTTTTTTTTTTAAGTTTTGCTGAACCAATTTTGATTTGGAAAAAAGTAAGTATAGTATTTTCAGTCGCTTGTTCAAAATATTTCGTTTCATTTTGACGTGTGGGCCCAGGTCAAATTTTTTTTAATTTGTATTTTTCATTTTAGGTGTTAAATATAAGAACAATAAAGTCTCTAAACTCTAAACAGTTTTTATTTATTGGCTGAACCTCAGGAACCTCTGTAAATATATTATATTTAACAGTCCAACAATTATAAATTAATTTAGACGTATTAATTAAAAGTTAGTTAAAAATTAAATTAACAGGAACAATTGTGAAAACCTTTTATGAATGAAATGTCTTATAGCTTTGTGTAAATTCTTTATATTTCTAATTAATAATTACAAAGCTATTTTGTATTATTTTACTATTTGTCTTCAAATATTATAATTTAGGTAAGAAATTGATGAAATACAATATGGGGAAGTATTTAAATTTTACATTTCGCCAAGGCCATGGATATAGTATACGTAAACTGGAACAGCTGAAACAAAACATATTTATATTTCAATTATTACATACTGTTAAAATATCAGAATCAAATAAACGAAACAAAAAATTAAATAAACCATTAATTAAAAGATTCAAAATAAAAGCGCATAGTCTCTTGAATAAGTGGTTTAAAACAAAAAAATCAACATTTTATTTATTCAAACATAATCTCAACAAAAACCGGAAAGAACTGAATAAAAAAAGGGCGCTCATCCTTTTTTTATTCAGTTCTTTCCGGTTTTTGTTGAGATTATGTTTGAATAAATAAAATGTTGATTTTTTTGTTTTAAACCACTTATTCAAGAGACTATGCGCTTTTATTTTGAATCTTTTAATTAATGGTTTATTTAATTTTTTGTTTCGTTTATTTGATTCTGATATTTTAACAGTATGTAATAATTGAAATATAAATATGTTTTGTTTCAGCTGTTCCAGTTTACGTATACTATATCCATGGCCTTGGCGAAATGTAAAATTTAAATACTTCCCCATATTGTATTTCATCAATTTCTTACCTAAATTATAATATTTGAAGACAAATAGTAAAATAATACAAAATAGCTTTGTAATTATTAATTAGAAATATAAAGAATTTACACAAAGCTATAAGACATTTCATTCATAAAAGGTTTTCACAATTGTTCCTGTTAATTTAATTTTTAACTAACTTTTAATTAATACGTCTAAATTAATTTATAATTGTTGGACTGTTAAATATAATATATTTACAGAGGTTCCTGAGGTTCAGCCAATAAATAAAAACTGTTTAGAGTTTAGAGACTTTATTGTTCTTATATTTAACACCTAAAATGAAAAATACAAATTAAAAAAAATTTGACCTGGGCCCACACGTCAAAATGAAACGAAATATTTTGAACAAGCGACTGAAAATACTATACTTACTTTTTTCCAAATCAAAATTGGTTCAGCAAAACTTAAAAAAAAAAAAAAAAAATTAACACTAATAGCTGCAGTCACATACCAGGGCGTTAACAACAAAACTTTACATACCGACCTAAGACAACCAACTACTGACCAATATATACGTATTCTCTACTCCCGATTTCATCTTAAACTACAAGGACATCACAACAGACTTATCAACGAAATGGCCACAGCTGACATGCTTATCAGGAAGTGACTGAAAAGGAGTTGGATGAGAGATCTCCTTTCTGATTTAAGGATGTAAACAGGCCAGGGAAGAAGTGCTGCGAGGTAGAATAAATCCGCTAATTGTCACAATCTTGGCGGCTGTGGATGGAGATTGGAAGAAAAAAATAAATTACAATTTGGACATATTTTTACAACAATTAATTATTTGGTTGATGATTGACTGTAGTGAATAATGAAGAGAAGTGTGGTTGGGGTAATCAGTCATAATAAACATGGCAAAAATAAATAATAATATTTATTTTGACACTTGCCTAATGTTAAAGTAAATATATAAATAGATTTATATAAATTTTTACATAAATATATAAATAAATATTAGTGCCATTTTTATTTTGATTGATCACCGCTAGCATCTTTCTCTTAATTATTGTTATTAAAAATTATTAACTTTTTTTTTTAAATCTTATTTATTGAAAAATATTACAATCTGTCTTAAGGACATTTATAATAGTGTTCACAGATCACATTCACACTCTATGTACAGTAAATAAAATAAATTTATTAACTTAATGAATTAAATACAATTATTACAAATATTTTGTTGTCTTAGGTAGAAATAGCTTTTTATTTAAAGCCTATATTTTAAGTCAATTAAACCTTAATATAATGTCAAAATTTCAAAAGTCTACAATAAGCCATTGCTGAGCTTACCCCTGACAAAATTTAGTTGCAATGTGGACATACAGACAGACAAAAAAATGTTTTAAAAGTGGATTTGGTGTTTGCAATGTAAGAAACGGAAAGATGTCATAAATCGGGTTGATTCTATTCAATGTACAGACAAAATCTTTATTTCATTTATATAGATACCTGTATTGCACTAAAAATGGGTAAGAAATCAATTATTCCGCTGCTTTAAGGAAAACTGTACATGATTTGTTTTTTATAACAAGAATATCACAGTTTTTTTTTTTTTTAAGCCAACAAGAGCGTTACAATTTTTTTTAGCAAATTAAGCATGCCGCACTAAAAAAACGTTTGAGTACTCCGAGGTATAGATACTTCACTCAGAGAATTCTCATGAATTAAAAAAGAGTCATTCGAATAATTAATTAAGGTTGACGATTAAGGTCAGTAGAAAAATATTGATTGCAGGAGAGATTAATATATCATTAATTAAGAATTGATAATCTTTTGCTGTTACTGTATAGCTAATATACAATAAATATATACACTATTTTAAAGCATTTATATGGGAAAAAGTATATTAAACAAAAAATTATAAAGTTTTTTAATATATTAAAGTTGATTGGGTTGTACAGGTTAAAAAGAAATTTAAATATTCTCGATTCAGAAGCGAAGCGAACTTTTTGAGTTATTAAAAATCTAGAACACATCGGATAATCTATTGATTATGGATTCTTACAGGGAATCCCATGTTACTAGTGATAAAAAAAAATGTTTACAATATCTCTCACTTCTTCTTCTATTAATACTATTTATTTTCAAGTTTATTTATTATCAGCCAATTTTTAATTTTGTCAACTTAATGACTACACATCTCAATTACGACATTTCGACTCGTCGAGCCATTTTCAAGTTTTAAAAAAAATTAATTTATAATTATATCTAAAACGGGTGATAAATATTCAGGACGCACTTTTTTTGAATTTTTTTTATTTTTGCCAACGTTTCAATTCTAACATGTGGGTAATCTTCAGGGCGTGATATGTATGTGTGAAGTACTGTACCAGTACTTGAACACCATCAGTGCTCAAATCACGCCCTGAAGATGACCCACATGTTTGTGTTGAAACGTTGGCAATAATAAAAAATTAAAAAAAAAAAAAAAAACTGCGTCCAGAATATTTATCATCCATGGTATGTAGAACAATCGACTAACTTCCTTCAAGAATTATATCTAAACTTTACATATTTCAAAATATAAAGAGTCTTTATTTTTATACCTAAATACCAATCATGTACCTGTCCTTCACTTATGCGAATTGCATGTTTCTATTCATAATAATTTTTTTGATTATAAATAGTCTTCCCCCTACTCCTATAAGAATAACCAGTCACTGAATAGAAATGAGACTGATGACATGTGGGTGACACATGAAAAAGTAATTTTAACTTATTTGAATCATTTAATAAGAAAAAAATGAGTAATAATGATGTTATAAAATAATTAAAGGTGGACATGAAAAGAAAAAAAAATAAGGTATTTAGGCGTATAAATAAAAAATCTTTATATTTTGAAATATGTATATGTATATGTATACGTAGTATAGATATAATTGTAAATTAAAAAAAAAAAATTAACTTGAAAATGGCTCGACGAGCCGAAACGTCCTAATTGTGATGTGTAGTCATTAAGTTGATAAAATTAAAAATTGGTGTAAAATTAGCTGATGATAAATAAACTTGAAAAAAATGTTTGATCCAATAAGTGGAATCACTTTTTTTTTTCTTTGTAACTCGGAAGGTAATGCTTCTTTAGATGTATAATTGTTTAGAAAAAATAAACAATTGTAAAATAATTTGCAGTGTTTCTTCACATTCACTTCGATCAGAAGTCTCCAAACGTTTTGGCCCACAGGCCTTATTGAAACGTCCATTGTAATGAAAAAAAAAACATGTATAAACGACGTGTCGGTTGTGAAATGATCTTTCTAAAATAAACAACTTATGCAATAAATATTGTAGTAACCTCACATTTGAGTGATTTATACATTTATATCATTGCAATAGTTTTTTAGATGTGACCATTTAATCAAAGAAATTTTTTAGAGGCGTAGTTTGAAGACCTTAGGTGAATTTGTCTTCTGAGCTTCAAATGCCTCAACGTTAAAATTACTATAATTCTAAAACTACTTGTTAGAATCCGGTAACATTGCGTCACTTTTTTTCAATACTCCATAACTTCTAAAATAACGATGATTTTTAAAAGTTCTAAATAAAAATTTATTTGTCATGCTTTGAAAATAAAATGTTAATGTTTACATTATTTTGACACCAGGGACCTCTATTTCATAATCAAGCTAATATTATTAGTAAAAAATAATTTAAAATGAAAAAAAAAAATTTGTAGGGAGAAGACTATTGGACTAAATCCACTTTCCACAAAAATTAAAAAAAAAATTCCCATTGGCCCGTTTGTGCTAACTGTTCTAAGTTAAACTCTAAAACAATAGCAATATATTTTCTTTTTAAATTATAATGCATAAATGTAAGCTTCAGTAATGAAGATATTATTTACAGCGTTATTGAACCTGTAATTTTGTTTTGGTTCATTATTTTCAATAATGAACAATTGTGATCGACTAAAAAAATCAAAAACTCAACTCCCTCTCAAAATTTCAGGTTTTACGTTTTAGGATACATAGAATTCGAAAAACGAATAAAAATTTTTTTGTCCGTCGCCGCCCGACGTACGCCGTCCGCCATCTGCGCATTTTCTCCGAAAATAAAGGACCAATTTTTTTCAAATTTTGATATAAAATCAGAGTTTGCCCGAGGACGGTCCTCCTTCATCGAGATTACTCTTCGCCTTTAACTTTCAGCGGCCGAAAAACCTGCGTTGCTATAGACTGTAGATCCTAAACGAATGTACATATTTCAATGAAACTTCGCTAAAGTCATTTTCTCGGCGCCCTTTAAATTTATCTATATAACATACTTCAACGAAAAGTAGCTGAGGAAGTTACGAAGGATGGTAAAATTGTTTCGAATAACTCAAAAACTACACACTTTTTTGTTGATATTGTATATGTTTTATTAAAAGTTTACGAAATTTTCTAAAAAAAAAAAAAAAATCGTTAAAATAGGACAATTAGGAGCAAAGATATGGTCTCCGGTTTTTTTATATGTTCTAAATGTTATATCCTTGGTTTGGTTTTTAAATTTTAAATGTGTTACTGAACTAATGCTATTTTTTTTTTTTTAGCATATTACTAAAGATTAAAGATAATCAGTTTAGTCCAGTAATTGGAATCACCTTTAATTTATTTTTCTTTGTAACTAGGATGGTAATGTTACTTTAGATGTATAATTGTTTGGAAATAATAAACCATTGTGAAATAATTTGCCATAAGAAATAATAAAAAAAATTTAAAAAAATAATAAATGACCCGAGGTACAATTACTATAGTTGTACCTTCAGTCACTATATATTGTATCTTATAAACTACTTATACGTCGGGCTACGAATTGTACCTTGGACAATATTTGTTGTAATGGGAATTGTAATTATTATTCAATAATAAATATCACCTATCTACTGATAAGCTAACTTTTCATGTCATTTTTTTGAAATCCCACAATATATTACGCTTTCAGTCAATAAATAATCTTGTATAAACTTCTTCAGTAAAAATCATGACACAACGATTTATTTTCACAAGAGAATGTTTTGAAATTACATTAATATACTTTGGACCGGCCCAAGGTACAATGATACGACTTTATTTTTTTTAATTTAATTTTTTATTTAAGTCCTAAAGTGTTTTGCTTATAACTCGCCTTCGAAAGAAGTTAGACAGATTACTTTACACGATTTGACTAATAATTTAGAGTATGTTTTTGTACTTTTTTACTTACTTTTCCGAGTTGTATGCCATTTATCTATCCGTTAGTCTTATTAATGAATTAAAAAAACACTCACATTCTAATTTGCAGTTACTCATATTCAGCCTTCAAAGAAATAAAAAATGTCCAACTCTTGAATAACCCTATTGCACTTTCCATAACACAATTCAAATTAAAAGAAAAAAAACAAATTAATAAAATTTCTCTGGATCCTAGTCATGTTGGTATACCTAGAAATAGACTGGCTGACACAGGGGCCATGGAAGCCTGTACCATATTTCCAGAACCTAGACTTAACACGGTACTCTACTACTTCCATGCAGCTGTGCTGAATCATTGCAAAGAAGCATGGAGCTACTTTTGGTCAAAGTTTCCTAAAACCAACAAACTGAAGAACATTTATGAAGATACAGAACCACTGCCCTCAATATCTGGAAACCGTCGGGAGCAAACCATAATTTGTAGATTCAGAATAGGACATACGAGGATCCTTGAAGGGAAGCCTTATCCTAGATGCTACAGCTGCAACCACCATTCCATCGAGCACATCATGGAAAATTGTCAGCGCCTAGTCAGTCCTTCAAGACTCCGGAGCTACCGCCAAGTCTTGGGACAGGAAAACCAGAAGAACTAGCTGCAATTTTTGGAGGATAACAAACTGTATAAAATGATTTAAATTATCTAATTAGGTAATAGGAACACGGTGTCTCTAACTTTTGTTGTTGTACATGGCAAACATTAAACTGTAATTAAATAAAACATATATATACTTTTCGTTTATTATTTTCAATAATCAACCATTGTGATTGACCAAAAAATTCAAAAACGTAACCCACTCTCAAAATTTGAGGTTTCACGTTTCAGGATTCTTAAAAATGAATAGAAATGTTTTTGTACGTCCGCCGTCCGTGCCTTTTCTCCGAAAGTACTGAACCGATTTTTTTCAAATTTGGATAAAAAATCAGTGGTCACCCGAGGATAATCCTACTTCATCGACATTTCTATCCGCCTTTTACTTTCAAAATGGCGGCCGAAAAACCTGCGTTGCTATAGACTGTAGCTCCTAAACGAATGTACCGATTTCTATGAAACTTCGCCAAAGTCATTTTCCCGACGTCCTTTAAATTTATCATTTATTAAATTTACAACATACTTCAACGAAAAGAAGCTGGGAAAAAAGTTACGAGGGATGGATTTTTAAAAGTTTACGGAATTTATTTAAAAATAAATTCATTAAAATCGGACAATAAGGAGCAAAGATATGGTCTTCAGTTCTTTTTTATATGTTCTACTCTAAATGTTTGTGTTTATTCCTCTGTTTGGTTTTCTAATTTTGAATGTGTTACTGAAGTAATGCTATTTTTTTTTAGAATATTACTAATGATTAAAAAAAATGAAATTTAGTCCAATAATTTTAATCATCTTTTAGTCATTTTTCTTTGTAACTAGGGAGATAATGTTATTTTAGATGTATAATTGTTTGGAAATAATAAACCATCCTGAAATAATTTGCAGCGTTTTTTTTTAATTATTCATCAAATCAAATTAAGAAAAATTACATTCCAACTCTTACATTCTCTTATCAATATTATCAGAAAACGGAGCGGAGGTACCGAAAGGTACCTACTGAGAGGTACCAAAATCAGCTAAAAATTGTTCTGGCAGTACAGTCTACTCAATTTTACCTCAAATCCTGAATTTCCCCCAGTGAAATTTCTTATTCCTAGGTTGGCCGAACGTACATAGGGGCCAAGTTACACGTATTTTCCAAATTTATAAAATTTCATTCAAATCTATGAGGTTAAATATCGGTCATTGATGAATTTGCAATGATTGACTATGTTGTCGTTAATACACTCAGTGTCAAAATTATATCTCTACCTTTCCATCTTTTCAAATTACTCGTAAAACAGTATTAAAATAATCTATCACTCACCTGAAGCCAAAAATATATACATTTTTTTTATTTTTCAAATTAAATTTAAGCCCCGTCAAAATGTTAAACACACTTTCTAGTAAAAATAAATGAAACTCATTTTAATACTTCACATGTCCTCTCCACCACCATTTATTAATTCAAAAATTCTGTTTTGTATTGAATCGTATAATTGTTTCTTGAAGTAATTGTTCCCATGAAGCCAGAATTTCCAATTTCAAATCCTCGATTGTTCCGAACTGTCTTGACTCAGAGTACACCCTTCTTGAAAGAGTTCCCCAAACATTTTCGATAACGTTTAGGTCTGGGGAGATTACAGCAGGCCAGTCTAATTTGGCGAGTAAACCAGTCTTTAATATTTTTTGCTGAATCTATTGGGGTGTTATCTTGCTGAAAACTGGTGTGCATTCAGATATGTCCTTAAAAGTCAACTTTTGTTCCCCTAACAAGTTTTTATATTCAGCTAAATTTACTTTTGATGAAACAAATACCAAATCCTTTCTTTTTATAACCAATTGATGACCAAACCATAACTTTTCCTCCTCCCATTTGAAGCCTTGATAAATTTTTTTCTTCTTTACTTAAGTCATGAAAATAAGACTAAAATCCATCTGACCCATCCAGATTGAATTTTTTTTTTCATCACTAAAGATGACTTTCTTCCACTCTTCAGTCGATGACATCACATTACGAGCAAATGTCATCCTGGTTATTTGTGACAGGTACTCAAAAAGGGCTTTCTTTTCAATTTTTTTTTTAACTATTGTTTTTGAGTTTTTTAATAATCTTTGGAAATTCCTTAGTTTTTTTGTTTGTACTCCAGCTTCCTCAGCAATTGTTCTGGCTATTGCTTACAAGAGTTTGATGCGATTCGAAGAATATTCCGTTTCTCTAGTAATGTCAAAGCAGGAGGCCTCCCAGTAGAACGATGTGTACCATATGTCTCGCCGTGTCGAATAAACTTCGGCGGGCTATTTCCTTACAACTCATCCGTTCTTGTGGAGCGAAGAAATCAAACGACGCTGTTCTTCGGAGAAACATTTATTTTTTTTCCATAACTCGTGTTCTTTTTAGATCTATTTTGATACAAATTCAACACTGCACTAAAGTAGAAATGATATTTTAACGATTTCAACTCTAGAGGATTAAGAAAATAGTAAACAAATGTCAATATTTACTGATATTGGATTTAAATAATCCTAGATCTGAGAAGATCGTCTCTATTTCAATATCATAATTTATACTTTAAACTGTGCTTGAAAAAATAATATCAATCAAAAATAAAGAAAACATGACAATTTTTTTTATTGCATTGGGTGTATATAACATTTTTACACTGATTGTAGGTGGCAGTTCCAATCTGATATAATAATTTATTTTTGAGTATTGTTATTATCTTGAAGATTCGTTATTGTATGTAATCATTTAACGATTAACTTATAATTTAGTCGAGGATTAACGATTAGATCTGATTAAAAACACGATCACTATTCATGCCCACATCAGGGTATTCCTCTTAGGCTTGTTAATAAGACCATTCCAGAACTTAGTTAAAAAATAAAGCCAATTAGTATCACTAATTGAAATCAATTATTCCTTCCCTGATTAAGGAGACAATTGGATCATAAATAATCCTTCGAGGAAAGGTATATTAGTTGAGTGGAATAGCACAGGTTGGATTACTTCAACATGAGACCACCAATAGAAGAGTCGCAACTTCTTGAAGGTATGAGCGTGGTACTCCTGAAGACCACAGGACTTTGGAATGCCATTAATACTTATCTTACAACAGGACGCAGAACCATCGGCTTGAATATTCTCACAGCATATTCAATTTTTTACGCTCTGCCATACGTATTGTTTCAAATGATCAGTATGTTCGTCATTCGCGTCAATGTCGAGAAATTGACCTTTTTATTCTTGAATAGTTTTCCATGCATCCAAGTATTTTTGAAAGTTTCCGTTTTTTGGTACAGGATAGAAGAACAAAGTGATATATTTACCTTGTTAAAACAAAATTTTCTTACTTGTATACCTTCGCACAAAATGATGAAAGCTAATGAAATTTATAGAAGATGGGCGAGACTCTCGAATATAGCATGTGTTATGGCATTCGCTAGCATGATATTGTGTATGTCCAGCTGGATTTTGGTGCCTGGAATCGATGGAGTGGACGATACTGGAGCAGTATCTAAGAAGATACTCGGCGGTTGGTATCCATTTGCTTTCTCAAGACCTCCCTGGAACGAGATTGTTTTCTATTACGAAATGGTTTTGATGTCGACTCATGGATCTCTGATATCTTTGTTCGAATGTGTGATGATCCAGCCATTGCTATGTCTGTGTGCACACTTCACCGTACTTGGCTACCACATATCTACCCTCAAAGCTGAAGATGTCGCCTACAGCAAAACTAAAAACCCATCCAAATACATGAATAGCGAATTGAGAGCCATTCTCTTAGACTACGAGATGCTTCTAAGGTATTTTATTCATAACTTTATCTTTTATTTTATAAACTTAACCTTTATTCATTAATTATTTTATCCTCACTCTCCCGAAGGTCAAATTTTGGTTTATAATTTTCAATAATGAACCATTGTAATTGAACAAAAAATTTAAAACCTTAGTCACCTCTCAAAATTTGATATTTTACGTTGCAGGATACGAATAAAAATTTTTTTGTCCGTCCGCCGTCCATCCAGATATCCCCCAAAAAATATAAATATTAAAGTAAGGCAAGAATTACAAAATATTTGGTTGACACTATTCAATTTTCGTTTATTATTTCAATAATGAACTATTGTAATAAAAAAAAAAATTCAAAGACTTAACCTAATCACAAAATTTAAGGTTTTAGGTTTCAGGATACGTAGAATTCGAAAAATGAATAAAATTTGTTTTTGCGCATTTTCTCCGCAATTGCTTGACCGATTTTTTTTTTTAAATTTGGATTTAAAATCAGAGGTCACCCGAAGATGATCCTCCTTAATCGACATTACTACACGCGCCTTTTCCTTTTAAGATAGCGGCCGAAATATCTACGTTGTTATAGACTGGCTCCTAAGCGAATTCAATGAAACTTGGCTAAGTTTCTCGTCTTCTTCTCGATGCCCTTTAAATTTATCTATATAACATACTTCAACGAAAAGAAGCTGGAAAAATTACGAGGGATGGTAAAATTCGAATAACTCAAAAAGTATACACTTCATATTCTATGGTTATTTCAAATTTTACGTTATTTCCTAAAAAGAAAATAATAAAAAAATCGTTAAAATCGGACAATTACTGCAAGTCACACTGCAAAAGTGATTTTATTTGTTTCTTTTTTTTTAATTGTGTTACTGAAGTAATGCTAATTTTTTTAACATAATAATGATAAAAAAAAAATGTTTAGTCCAATAATTGGAATTACTTTTTATTTATTTTGCTTTGTCAGTAGGAAGGTGATGTTATTTTAGATGTATAATTGTTTGAAAATAATAAACCATATTGTATGGTTATTTAAAAGTTTACGAAATTTCCTTTAAAAAAAAAACCGTTAAAATCGAACAATTTTGAGCAAAGATATGGTCTCTAGATGTTTTTAATATGTTCTACTGAAAAGGTCATATCCTTTGTTTTGGTTTTTGATTTTTGAATATATTACTGAAGTAATGCTACTTTCTTTTTTAGAAAATTACTAGTGATGAAAAAAAATGTTTAGATCAATAATTGGAATCACCATTTATTTCTTTTTCTTTGTTATAGTCCGTGGTATGGACGGACCTCTTTTTATAGAATAATTAACATCCCCTAAAACTTTGTAAATAGTTTTTTCTCACCGTAACCTACAAATATTATATTAACGAAAACTCGTTTCAATACGGAGGGAAGCAAACTTTGTATGTTTAATTAGGTATTAAAAACTCGTAAATACCCATTTGATTTCTACTTGGATCGTAAGATAATTTGATCACAAAATCGAGAAAAAAAGTGGTCTTCAAAAATATTGAGTTGTTTGGCGTGACTTACACTCCCAAATTTTCAAAATAACGAGGTTATGTTGGACAAACGGTCCAATATTTTTGTATTAAATTAAATAGACAAAGTTTACACCTCTCCAGATTGAAAACGTCCCAATTCCAAGAGTTTTCGTAAATAAAATAGTTGTTTGTTATGATTAAATGAAACTATTTACAAAGTTTCAGGCGAATGTTAATAATTCGATAAAATGGGGTCTGTACCACGGACTAGTAATGTTACTTTAGATGTATAATTTTTTGGAAATAATAAACCATTGTGAAATAATTTGCAGAGTTTTTTTATATATTCTTTTTCAAAGGCATTTTTACAAGTTAGGCATTTTCACCATATCTTCGTCAATTATTCAACAAATCCGATGTATGAGCCCTCGTTTTGAAAATTTTCTTGTCCTTCAGGAGGGAAAAATAGTTTCATACATAGGTCGCTTCAGTTACAGTAACCATACACTAGTAGCATATATCTTTATTCCCAATTCGTGAATGCAGAAGTACAGCGGCCGTATTAGACCTCCTTAAAATCTTTTATCATTGGAATTTTTTTCTAATTTATAGGACTGTACTTAGAATTCAATTGTCTTAAACAGTGTTTGAGCAATTCCATTTTATTTAATAAAAAATATGACCACCTTAAGAAAAAACACAAAATTGATCTTAACTCCTTTTCCATTCGGCAATGGCCAATGCATCTCCTGAACTTTTTTGATGGAAATTTTGTCTAGAATCAGTCCCCAGAGTTTGATCATTACGAATTGAAACACTCTGTATATGTATAATATACAAATATCATTTATGTACATAAAAATATTAGGTTTCTCGAAATATCTTTTTTAAGTCTTATAAAAATATTTTATATTTTCATTACATGAGAGGTGCGCGTCAAATTATATTTCGCGGTTAGAGGTCGCGGCTGACGCGAAGTGGAAGAAAACTCGAGGGTTGTTGATGATACGCAATTTTTTAATATCTCATTTGTAATCATAAAAAAATATAAAAGAAAAGAGAAATAAATAATCCGGTGCGATGTATCAAACAACTTTCATTTATCACCCTACTTCCAGTAAAAATTATTTATTTTTAAAATTAATAATACGAATATTTGTGTGGTCATAAACACAAATTTAACATAATTAATCCAATTTGTGACGAATCTATGGTTTATATAATTATTTTATATATTTCTGGTCAATGAGCTCAAAAAAGCTTTTTCTGTCTATTTCCTATGAAAATTCAATTCAGTTTCTATGTAAACGATTATTTTCCGTTCAGTAATATAAAATAAGACATCATTAACTACAACAATACAAAAAAAAGTCTGCCAAGTAAGAAAAGTATAGCTTCCTCACCGTTTATGAAAAAAAAAAAAAAAATATTACAAGATCTAAATTTTTTCGTATGGGAATAAAATCTCTCAGAGAAGCCGTTTTAAGAAACTCAATAATCCCTCAACTTACACGTGTTTGATATCCACGGGTTTGTTCATCAGCGAATACTAAAATGCGAAAGAGTTTCACATTTGCAGATTGCATATTTGATAATTCATGATTAAGACTAAACATTCCAGCGCATACTGAACATGCATATCAGTCTGTTAGTGCAAAAGATCTTAAGTAAAAACTGTGTGTTTTACAGGAAAGCCTAAAAAATATTTTGTTCATGATTTATTAGTATAATTTCATATTTTATGCCCTCTAACATTTCCCATTGTAGCAGACAACTTATATCAGTTACAGATTACAAAAAGTTTAATTATAGAATAAATTTGAAAATTTGTACATACCACTCTATAAAAATTTTGCACTAACAGTAGTTTTATATATATATATATATATATATATATATATATATATATATATATATATATATATATATATATATATATATATATATATATAGATGTTTTCACACGTAAAATGGAAGGAACAAAAAATCCATAGGAATAGTTCAACGTTTGTTTGTTAACGAGACCAAAACTTTTTTTCAGTCAGAACAAAACTAATTTATGCTGGAATATAAAAATATAAGTAAGTTCTCACAACTTTCATGTTTAAGGATGAAATCGAGACCACGACGAGCTGGTAGAACACAATCATAAATACGACTACTTTTTTTTTCACAAACATAGAGTAGAGAGAATCACTTTATTATCATAAAATGGTGCTGCCCAATTTCAGTGGGTTGCAAAAAACACAGCATACTTATTAATCATTATAGACAATTTTTAAAATAATATATAATTATTTAGGGTTAACAATATTAATTTAAATTTATTGAAAATTACAGGAATTAATTTATTGAATTAATTAATAACGGCAGTAAACATCATGCTAGTAACATTTGGAAGCCACCAAACAATACGGTATAAATTAACTTTGAATAAAACCTTATTAAATTTTATAACCTGATAAAAATATTCTATTGACCTTACCCCGATTACACATGATCAATGACTTCCACATTTCACAGCCATTATACTGTTAACAGTTATTTACATTAATTTCAATTATTGAATGTAATTCAATTAAATTCATATTGTGCAATGTATATAATATTCTCCAAATATCCTCCATGTTTGAGTCAAATTGAATGAGCCGTTTTCAGACTATAGGCGTGTCAAATAATACATTTACTGATCCGAATGCAGAAGTATTTTTTTTTAGAAAAAAGAATAGAAATATATAAAATAAATATTCACTGAATCATCTGTTAACTAATCCCTAACTTTCCTCCAAATTTGAGCCAAATCGAATGTGCGGTTTTAAAGATATAGACGTATCAAGAAAAACACGTTTGCGCATATATAAGAGAAAGTAGAGGACGGATTTCAATGAAATTGATTCTGCGCTATTTTTTTTATTAATACCTATATTTTTTCAGCTTTGAGCCAAATTGAACGAGCTGTTACTGAAATATTAGCATATCTAAAAAAATACGTTTGCGTGTGCGAAAGCGAAACCGCTGGATGGAATTTGATATGGGATCATATAGACACTGCTGTTTAACTTTGTCCTGAGTTTCCTCAAAAAAACAAATAATCATGGTTGATTCTGTTTCCCCTTAATTTTTCAAAAAATAATTTTAAAAACTGCTTTATCGGGGCTTGACATTTTTAAAGAAAATAGATAAAATAAAATACAAAGAAATGAAACATAATGTCTCCAAATTTCTGGTTTTGTTTGGAGACATTATGACATTTGGAGTATTGGAAATAGAATTCTAAAATTGTATACATTTAAATTTTGAATACATTTAAATGCGTTTTTTTGAGTTCTTTCATAACTTATAAAAATCTTAAGTTTATACTGGTGTAAGCTGAACCTGATATTTTATTTATTAGATTATTTGCTTGGCGGTAAAAAAAATATATTTTGGCTTTTTAATGTTGTGCACTCTTTATAGTATATTTTATATCAATATTAGTTTTTGAAGTGAAAGTTTCTTTAAGCTCGTTTTGCACACTATGTGGAGAGTGAATTAGATTGAACCGTCAGATCTCCGATGTGTAACACTCGACTAATTGAAGTATTTCTGTACATGCATATTGCAAGCGAGAGAAATGTTCTTAATTTTATCTTCTGTGTAATAAGTTATAATTCAAAATTGTATCTTAACGCGACGACGTGTTAGAAACTCGAAAAACTAGTGTCGAAAACCAAATTGTAACGAGTTTTATTGAAGATCTAGATTAAGATGTCTCAGAAATTAAAAATAGGACCTGCATACTGTAAGCGACGAAATTGTTTAGCATTTCATCCTCTTTATAATAAGCTATTATTTATAATTTATATTTAATATTATTAATCTAGCCTAGTTGAAGTTTACACGTCTATCGAGTAGTCTAAAGCACACAACTTAATTTTTTTTTTTTAAGGTATACAGCTGTAATGCAAGACATCCTTAATCTGCTTGTGACAGCAATATTAGGCACAGGAATTGTAATTCTCATCATAGGCGTTTTGCAGTTTAAGTTTGTATGTCATTGTACTTCATAATAAAATTTATTATATGTGATAGTAATTAATTATATAATTATTATTATTTTTTTTTTTAGGGGACGTTGGATCCAATGTTCGTATTTCATTTCTTGACGTTTCTTTCTTATCAGGCGACAGAAGTGTTCTTAATTTGTACCAGTTCTTCTGCTCTACAAACAGCTGTGAGTATTTTGTTTTTTTGAACTTTTCCGAACGGACAGTTGTTAATTGAATCTCTTCTATAATGGAAGATGAATTAATTTAAAACCTGATTCAAAATCATAAAAGATAAACTTCATAAACAAATTGCAGTTGATTACAATACTGCAAATCATTATATTTCCTCTTATATAATGGGGAGTTATTATTTTCTGCTATAATCAGTAGATGCAATTAATTGGTCATTGGTTTGTAATTAATTAACATGTTATCCGATAAGAAAGGCGCACTATAGAACGAATATGGGTTTTCAAATTATTTTATGTAAGATCTACTTTCGAACTCAAACTGTTGAGAACGATTGAGTTGTAAGTGATATATGAATGAATCCATTGTAAACGTCAAATTTAGTCTAATTAATTTTATAAACACTTGTTTTTTCGATTTTTCTAATTTTGTACCATCCATTTTTTTTTTAAGCACGCCGATTTAATGACAGTGACATCACTCAGTTAAAACTAGTTTATAGTGAATAGAATGATACCATTGAAAATTTAGATTTAAATTTAGAAAACTTTTCTTAAAGAATTTAGGCTGAAATTTTATTAATTTTCTCTCACACATAAAAAAAACGACTTTTCCTTAAATAATCTATTAATAATAAATAAATATTTGATAAACTAGAAATAACAATAACTACAACATCTCATTAGGCCGGAAATTGGAAGAATTATATGTTTTAATGAATACTCAATCTTTGACCGTTAGTGTTGCACTTTGCAAGACCAAGGCCAAGACCACGTAACTGTTGTAAGACCAAGACCGAGACTGGTAAAAATCAATTCTTGAATAAAAATTAAGCAAAATAGTTATTAACAATTGACAAGTTTAGTTACTATCCGTAAAGAATTAGTATAACCAATATATGTTTGCATTTAACTCTTCTATTTTTTCATTAGACTATTAAGGAGGTAAACATACTAAAATCCTCCTAGGTGACGTTCTATAAAAAATTAAAGCTGATAAAATTTTCGATATGATTGATTATATATTTGTTTCGCTACCACGCTTAGTTTCCGAAATATCCGTCCTCAACTATGGCCAATTTTGAATAGAAAAAAATTAAAAAAGCTAACTCTTGATTGCTTCGTTCTACGATTAATTCATGGGAAAGAAAGTTTTTAATAATTAAATTTTCTTTAAGAATATATATTTTTTTACTAGTTTATCTTCAAAGGTTCAAATGTTAGCTCAATTATAACTTTATATGTCAATTCCAAGAATTTGCAAACATTTTTTTTTATATACCTCTAACTCTCTATACATCTAAATGTCTATGTAGATACTCATATATTTATAATATTCGATGTTATAAATTGTGTCCAAAGTCAAAAATTGTGTTTCCGCCATTTCCTTTTATAATCAGTCATTGACTTGATTACATCACTTTCATCTTTATTTATTTTTTTTATATTCAAGACTACAAGTATTTGTTTAATTACTGGTACTACCACCTGTAGGAATAGAAATTCTAAATCGGTATTTTAAAAATATCTAGTAATATTTTTTATTTTCAAGAGCTCGGATATTTGCTTCGCTATATACAGCAGTGATTGGTACCTGGCAGACAGGGAATACGCAAGAACGGCACAGATGATAATGGTCAGAACTTTCAAACCTCTCACCCTTACCGCCATAAAGATGTATCCAGTCAGCGTGGAAATCTTAGTCGGAGTAAGTATATTTTAAGCTAACACAAATACAAATTAGTCAATAACTTGCCAGGCAGAATTTTTTAGAAAAAATTTCATAGGCGCAGACTGTCCATTAAGATTAGGAGAGAAAGAACAATGGGCAAAATCTCCGATTTATATGAAATGTCAGTTTTCACGGAAAAGATTATTTAGTAAAACAACACATTTCAAAATATTTACAATAGTTTTCCTCAAGGTATCAGCTTTTCAATCCTAGAACTCGAAAATTCAGGATTTTGTGCAGAAATGAAGTCAGAAAATACGAATTTGACCTGAGAATCATTTTCAAAAATTTTACCTATGAAGAAGTAGTCGAAATTTCTGAATAGATGTAAATCTGTTGGAGATATGTGTGGCGAATAAGGTTGGTGTGGTAGGACTTCTTAACAAAGCTCCTTTACTTTCTTCAATGTCTGTCGTGAAACATGAGGTCTATTGTTGTCGTGAAAAATTATAGGCAAGTATTTGGTGTATTATGTTAATGTCGCTGTGGATCCGGATGGGATGGTTTCACGTTTGGAGAAAAAGGAAAAATAAATTATTGCTGTCATTGAACAACAAACACATCAACTAATAATTTTTTTTAACACCGTTCGCTGTACACTGTGCCACAGGCAGATCTACGGAGAGAGAGGCTTTTCGGCTAAATCCACCCTCCTCTCCCCCAAAAATGGTAAAGTATAACCATGTTTTCTAGAAAAAATATTAAAAAATATCAGTTAAAGTATTATTGTTCGTGTAATTACATTTAGTAGGATTTCAAGAATCATTTAAACAACATGTCATGTAAGTAGTTAGGTTTTTTTTTCTTCAAATTAATTATGGTTATATATAGCAAAAAAAAGCTTTCTGGCTGGAGCCCCCCCCCCCCAAAATTAAATGCTGGATTGGTTAGTGCACTGTGCTAGTGTTTCTTGCAGCTTGGGCTGCCGTGTTTCCATGATTATATTTGATGGCATACTAAACAATGCAATCAATTGGAATGATAGTAAATATAATAAAAAAAAATAAGCAGTGTGATTTACACCACACGATATAATTGAAAACATCAAGAAGGCGAGGTTAATAATATGAAATATAAATTATAAATAATAGCTCATTATAAAGAGTATAAAAATACTGAACATTTCTCTCGCTTACAGTATGTAGGTGCGATTTTTAGTTTCTGAGATATTTTAATGCATATCTTCTATAATATCTTCGTTATCTTTGGTTTTCAACATTATTTTTTCCTCTTCACTTCTCTAACACGGCGTTGCTTTAAGATAAAATTTAGAATTATAACCCATTACAGAGAGGATGAAATGCTGAAAAATCTCCTCGCTTACAGTTTACAGGTCCGATTTTTAGTTTTTGATATATTTTAATCTATATGCAATAACACTTTAATTAATCGATTCTGGTCAACTTTATTCGAACATTACTCATCGTAGATTTGACGGCTCAATCTAATTCACTCTCCAAAAAAAAAGTAAAAAAAGTGCCTAAAGAAGTTATCACTTCAAAAGGAGAGGGTCCATAACGGATCATTATAATCAGTAAACAGAAACATAGTAAACAACAAAAGTCCACTTTGAATTTCTGAAATAATTAAAACGGATATTTCGTATGGAATGATAATAATACATCGTTAAAAATGAAGTAAAACATATTAAATTCGATGAGTAAAATGTAGTTCTCATTAATTAGGTAGGCTCAAATTAATTTTATTTTATGAATTGCATTGATCTTTACAACTTTAAAACGAATAAATTTTTCATGTCTATATAGTGCAGCTAGTTCAAATAATGCTATTATCAGCTTATCTAACTGTTCGATAATTGTTTTTATCTGTAGAAAATTCATTTTTAGTGCAAACGAACGTTACTGAAAAAGGTAAGAGCAAACATTTTTCTACTAACTACACGAATCTAACTAAAATTTGGTTGATATATATTTATATTTGATGTAGAAAAAATTGAGTCACCCAAAAAGAATTCGAGAAGTTTTTTTCCTGAATTGGTTAAATACTTATTTTTTAATATTTTTTTCCATAAACATTGAGGTCTTTCTTTGGCGTCTCTCTTCCCTCGTAGATCCGCCTGTGAATAGAATTACCAAAACAGGATCGAAACGAAACTTACTAAAGGAAGTTACGAACGTGGGATCACCGACTCAAATGAAACTTTTATTGGTTATACTAGGTCAAAAAATATTAGACCCATGACAGAGGTTCTTTATCAATGCGCCCAAGGAGCCAGGAAAAAAAAATTGTTATAAAGTTTCATTATTTTTTATATTACAGTTTTCTGGCTTTGCTTTGCATGGATTTTTATGTTATTATATACTAACATTTTTTTTTGTGTGTGTAAAATATAAAAAACATATTGATCATTGTATAAAACGAATTTTAATATATGAAAACAAAATTAATAAAAACTCAAGACGCTTCCAATAAAGTCGGCCAAGTAAATTTTTATCATTAAAAAAGATTCACATTCATTTTAAGGGTCTATTTAAAATATTAAGTACAACTGTTATTTATTTAAATTTAATTTTAATTTTATAGCAGCATTTTTGTTTTCATACCATTTACTAAAATATTCATAACTCATCATATTTTCTAGTCTACGTTACAACAACCATTGGAAACATAACAAAATTTATATAATTTATTTTTGCATTTTGCTTTGCGCGAATCTTTAGGTTATCAAACACCAATCCATTTATTATTATTTTTCTTTCTTGTGCATAATATGTTAAGCATATTAACTAACACAAGAGACTATCAACATAAGAATAGGAGAATTTCTTCATATTTACATAGGATACATTTTTACTCATCCGTTCAAAAGAAGGTTGCATGGTGCAAGTTTGAGGGGATCGAATTTTTGAGGGGAGAACATTTTCACAGGGTTTTAAATTTTTGAGGTTAACACATTCTGACAGGATTATGAATTTTCGCAGCTAGCCATATTTTTATGAGGTTTCGATTTGGAGGAACTTTCAAACCACAGGAAAATAGTGGATGTAAGGTCAATATTTTTCAAATCTACATTAGCTCCCTCTGTGTTTAAGAAGAGGAAAGGAATACAATTTCTTGAAAGGGGAGGAATGCACCATCGACCTTAGGAAAACTAGTGGATCCAGGATTTAATTTTGGGGGCTTCAGTCCGATAGATTTTTTTTCATATATATAACTATAATTAATTTGAAAAAAAAGAGGAAAAAATGAATTACCTATATGAAATGCTGTTTAAGTGATTCTTGAAGTCCTATTGCATGTAATTACACGAACAATAATACTTTAAGAAATAGTTTTTAATATTTGTTTCTATAAAGAAAGCCCTCCCACCGTAAATTTGCCTGTGCATAGGAGGAATAGCCACAATCATCAATGGCATCTGAAATCTATCTAATTGTTTTTAAACCCATCGATGGAAACCATTGAATTTATTATGTTTCTTTATTCATCGATTGAATCACAAATGTATGCTCGGTTCTTTTTTTCGTTTTTTACTGTTCATATCTGTAGTTAGTTTTTTTATCCATATTTATTTTTGTTTTGAAATTAAAAAAGATAATTAGTTAGGTTTTTTTATGAACCATTTTCTTAAATTGTTTTATTTTACTTTTTTGTTCGTTCATGTAGATTATTTGTTACTGATTCCACTTTTCTTTTTTTAATTTCTATAAATCAATTTACTGTGGGGGAGGAGGGAGATGATACTCTGGCTCCCTCTCTTTTATAATCCACATCCTAAGTCTGCGCCTATGACCATTCTCTAACATATTTCTAAATAAGAACATAGAATTATTAAAACTATGACGTATTCAAGAATCACATATTTTATTCTTCAAATAAGTAGTTTTTAAATCTGAACTTGATCATTTTCAGCTCTTCCAATTCACATATACCGCAGCTATGGTACTGTCCAAATGAACAGCATTTTACTAGGCTCAGTAAATGATGAACATATACTTTAGATAGATTATTATGTTTGTAAAAAGTTATATTTTTGTATCTAGAATAAATCAAACTAAAAATAAAGTTTTTTTATTTATTAAAATATCCTTTAAATTCAATCTATTTCAGAAGAGATATGATGGATTAATTTATTCATTTTGATAGTTGTTGCTGCTCCAAATTGAATGATGGATTGCTCTATTCTATCTGTCTATGTTTTAGTAACTGGTTCATACTCATTCAGGGAATTTTAAAAACAATTCTAAATTAATTAACATTAATATAATGATTGTCAATTAATGAAACAACTCATTTATTGTTCTTATACCATAAAATATTATGTAATTAAATAAATTGAAATTTTATTTTTAACATTTCTAGGCCTCGAACAAAATATCTTTAAAAAATTTAATGATGTATTCATAACTTCTATATAAATAAAAAAGTAAATTTTCGTTTGTTCAAAACCGCTAATCTCCGAAACTTCTTCACCTATTGCTTTGAAAGTTTCACATAACACTTCTACCAGATTCAGGAGTATTTTTATTTACATTTAATAACCCTCCACCCTTTCGTTTTGGAGAGACGGCCCGAAAATCTGTGTCGATATAGACTAGAGCGCCTAAACGGCTGTAACAATTTTAATTAAACTTAGATAAATTTTTTCCTTGAAGCCCTTTTAATTTATGTTTATAAGATCCTTTCCCGAAAAGAGTATGAAAAAAATGTTACAATAGATTCAGAACTATATTAGTGAATAAATCAAAAAGTACACAATTTTTAATGGTTCATACCCATTATCTGAAAGCTTCCTGAATTTCCTGCAAAATGGACATAAAAAAAAATCCATCGAAATCGAAAAGAATTGTCTTTGCAATGAAACAATTTGCATTAGCCGATAGAGCCAAGTGGGTTCAAATATATTTTTTAGAAACAAAGTTCTTATTGTGCATCTCCATTAACACTCAAATACGAATTTGCATTGCAAATGAAAAATAAAAATTATTTACTTCAAATTTTTATCAAGGCCTTCAATTTTTTTTTGAAAATCACAGAAGTTGTGATAGCTTCGACATGGCTCTACTTATCAACACGCAAATTATCATGCATTTAGGGTCCTAAAATATACACGAAATGACACAAACCAGAAGTCTTTAAATAAATTAGGCTTGGAAATAAACAATAAAAACATTTTCGGAGTTTTCTTTATCTATTTCTTATGAAGGCGTTAAATATAAAAGTTGTTTATATGGTCTTTAAGAGCAATAACTTGATTGATTATACCCATGATTATTTGAAAGCTTCCTGAATTATCTGCAAATTAAAAAAAATAACGCATATCCACAAGTATTGTAAAATAGAATATATAAGAAACATCTGCTTTCTTTTTAAATTACTCTACATCTTTTTTTCAACTAGACTGAGCCAGAGCAACATGTGGCCAGATAAAACTAGTTAGAAATACAATCAAAGAGTAACTAAAATTGAAATCACAGGAAATGAAATTATCGATAATTGATTGATAATTTAAACCTTTGTTCAATCCCCGCCCTCATCCTCCGGCCCGGGAAAATCCCGTATAGCCTAAAAGGCGAGGGAGGGAAGAACAAAAAAAAAAAAATAAAAATAAAAAAAAAAACCTTTGTTCAATAAAATGTAAAAAGTTATAATAATAATCACTGTGTACAAATATTTCAATGTGCAAAATTAATACAACTAAGAATTCCACTTTATTATTATATCCATAATTGGTAATTGGTTGACTGTCGTGGATAATGAAGAGAAGAAATTTTGACTGACCACCCAACTATTCTTCTCTTCATTATTATTATATTGTTCTATTAAACAATTAGTCTACATTAATTATACTTAAATCATAATTTTTTTTTTATAATTTTGATAATGATTATTCATAATGATATATCACTAATTAAATTCCAAAATAAAATAAATACAACATATCTCTGGTCTCTGGCTATAACTAAGTCAACTAATCCTCACGTTACTTTGAGTCGATCATTCTTCAACTCTTCAGCTCTTAGACCATTAGTTAAATAGTCTAAGAGCTTACTCTCGGAGAATTATTGAATTTTACCTATAGTCTAAGAGCATAAGAGTTCAAGAATGATCAACTTAAAACAACATGCGGATAAATCAACGTAACTAGTTTTGACCAGAGAACAGAGATATAATCATCAACCATTCATGCTATAAAATTAACAAAAAAAAAGTTTAAACTAATTGCTTTATTTATTTAAATAAAATTTTACTATGCATATATCATAATCATAATCATAAATAGCTCATTCTACAAATTAGATGATTGTTTTCAAAACTGGCTATATCTATTTTCTCAACAATTTTACAAGTAAATTGAATCTAGCTTACATTGTCGGCACCATGTTTAAGTAACGATCGTGAGCCTGTTTAACGTTGCACATTTGTTACTTTAACATGGTGCTGACGATATTAACAATGGGTTATATTATGCTAGATTTATTGATATGCATGGAAGGGTTATCTAGAAGGAGGTTCCAAGTTACTCCATCCGTTTTTATAAATAAATATATATACGAAATTTTGAGGTTTAGTAAGAAATTTGGGATTTCAATTGCAGGTTACCAAGGAACCCAAGAGAAACAGCTGAACTAAAATTAATATTTTTGAGAGTGAACAACATAATTTACCAAAATTTTTGATTCACTAGATAACTTAAAGAAATACAATTTAGGATTATTTTTTGTTATTTAAGAAGAAAAATTTTACTATTCACACAGGGGTGACCATTTGATCCATCATCAAAAAATAATACAGTCCCGTTTCTTCAGAACCTGCTGTCTCTTGTTCTCCATCATAGAACACAATTAATCTTTTATTTTAAACATATGATTAAAAATGAATCTTCACTGTCAATAGTATGGAAAAGAAAGGTTCTATGTCCTATCCAGATCTGTACATTACAAATGAGCGCAACTTATAATGAAGACAGATTTTGAAGCTGAAACACACACACACACACACACAAAATAATAGTGAGGTGCTAGGAAAAAAATATCAATTTCTCCTAAAAAACTTTCATACAATTCAGTTTGTTGTATCAGAATCCTTGCAGGGCATGACTATTTTCAGAACCATTTAAATAAACTAGAGCTATAGAGTCTAAAAAAGGTCCCCACTCAACAACAATAGATGGTGACCTTGCCTTATAAATGCCTTTTCTTAGGAGACCTAAGAATGAAAGATAACAATGACAAACCTAATAGGAGGAGATCTAACCTTAACTTGGCTGTTCAAAGTCTTCTGAATAATAAGCCTCCATTACTAGGCATAATATTACAAAAAAAAAAAAAACTTTAAATGACTATCAAATATATTAAAATGTGAAACTGGTGGCTTAGCTAGATGAACTGGCGATTCAAAGCAACCCACAAAATCCTTGATACAGTTCAGGTTTATTTGAACTATACCTTCTATTTACACCTGCGATCAATATCTTTTGCTTTGAACATTCCATCAATCAGCGCATTTGCAGCCTTTATAATTTAAAGAGATCAAATCTCCTGATCATTGTAAACATGAACTGTTAAAAATTCATTAATTTTTAATATATATATTTATATACGTATGTATACTTATAAATATAAAAGAAAATTTAATGTGAGAAAAATGAGCTACAATAGAATATTAAAGACAATGAAGGATTGGGAAGCAGAGGTTAGAAGAATAGGAAGACCTCCAGTTAGATGGAAAGATAAAGTGATGAAGAGTATGACTGGTAGGAGATTATCAAAAGAGGACAGTGAAGAACTGGCAGACGGATGGTCCTACTGAAACATGAGTTTGGCTGAGGAACACTTCACATTGAAGTAATTTCCAAGAAAAATATAATTTAGAGGAAAAGAGTAATCCTGAAAAGCTACCACATTTATTCTTAAATTTATTTTAACAAACATTTTTAGTAGAATTTTTAATGATATTGGTTAATGTTTGGTTCAGGAATTTTCAGCATAAAAATGGTATTGAATGTATAAACATTTTCTAAATTTGCTTTTTCTTATATATGCCGACTTTACAAATTATTAAATTCACAACTATCGTCAACTATCCCCAACCATAGTATCTATAGTAGACTATTTTTTAATCATAATTATAAAAAAAAACAATTTATGCACATAATGAAATTAATTGGAATCTATATTTTGTTTTCGAACCAAACAAGAGAAAATCTTTAATATGAATAATAAGTAATTAAATTTAAATCTGAAATAATTATTACATTGGCAATTCTAAATATTATTTCAGGAATAACCATTATTTCAGAAATAATTTATTCATGAAGTAATTATATAATTTATTTCAGAAATAAATTATTCCAAGAGTGCCCAGATAGAGCCTTAACCAATTTAAATTTTTCCAGTCCCTTTTACCTAGATGGAGATATTTTCATTGGACTAATAGTAAAAAATTCTTTACATAAATCTTAAGCTAATTATTATAGATATCAGTTAATTACGTTATTCGGTTATCTAAGTTAGTTATTATAGAGATCACAATGACAGAAAACAAACTACCATATCCAAGACAGTACATACAAATTTTATTTTTGAAAATAAATTAAACAACAATAATTTAGTTGGTAAGTTGCAAAATATTACACAATTTCTTAATTAATAAAAACAGACTGCAAGAAGTATAGTTAACTATTTTATGATGGTTATTTACAAAAAATTTTAAAAAGATGCAAACTTTTAAAACAAAGTAACTGATCAATACATCCCATTCCACGTGTACATTCTTACGTGATGTTAATACAAAGTCAATTTGTGATCTATCTAGCAACAAACAACTGAAAAAATTAAAAATAATTAAATCTAGGATTAATAAACAAAATGACAAGACAAGGTTAGCGTTATATTCTTTATAAAGTTGTACATGTCCTAGCTCCATGTTCACAATCCTTGATGAGATGTAGAAGC